ATTCAATATAATTTCTGTACACTTTCTAGACAGTGCCACAAAAGAAATTCAAAAGCCCTATAGAAATCCGGTAGAATTTCTTTACAATGTCTTCGTAGAATTCTCTAGAAATTTGGTAAGATTCTTGATAGGATTTCTATATAATCTCAATAGAATTTCCACACAATGATTTAATATAATTCAATAGAGAGAAATAATAGAATTATGTACGACCTTATAGAATTTTTTCTTAAAAGAGTCTATAGAATATTCTTGCCTAGGAGGTTCCGAAATGTCCTAGAATTCAATTGCAGTTAAAGAGATGAAAGCCTCGCAACTCGTCTCCTGATCTGCACACGCTCTACAAATAAAGCATAGTACACTACATGAATAGCAGTTTGTGAATTTGGCTTATTTCATGCTGCGCTCAGGCTTCCAACCGGGATTGTTGCGTTCAGGCATGTCAGATGTGCAACATTTCAGAGATAATTACTCAAATGGATTTGAGTATGGGCCCACAAATTTTCACTTTCTCCAGTGTGTCTTCTAGTGTAACGGTACTGGAAGGCATTATTCGTCCCCCGTACAAAACTAATAAGGAAAAAATCAATATAACAGATCTGAGGATGACTGCCGAGGTACCAGGGCGACATCTCTGTGCATGGCCACACAACGAAGATTTAAAGTCACCAAGCACAGATCGCGAGTCGCCCTTGACCTGAGGAAGATTCCTGAGTCATCTTTCACAGACTGTTTATTTCTGAGTCAGCATTCATTTCATTTGCTACGTAACGTGCGATGTCGCGTGGTATGTCACAACCTATTAACTTTTCAGAACATCTAAAATGTTATGGGGAGATGCGTTGATTGGCGTTGGTGCGTTATAGTTTCTGCACGTAGCTGTGTAGCAAGTGATATCTAAATCATGTAATTTTTCTTAATGCAAACGAACACTATCGATAAATTCATTTTCTATTTCCCTATTCATTTCCCAAGTCTCAATATTAGGAGCTCTGCCTCTGGTGACAAATTCTCACCATATTAGCTTAATATGTACAGGCCACCACCACTACTCTACACTGTGACCAATTTCCGCCATATTACCAGCGTTTGCTCAACTTTAGCTGACCAAAAGCGCACAACATCGCATACTTACTAACTAAACTAACGTTTCATCAGCCTTGACAGGTCATATAACTCAACCTTGCACATCCTTCCTTCACCGACAATCTACCACGGGGGCCGTTCACAAATTACGTAACGTGATTTTTCAACATTTTTAACCTCCTCACCCTCCCCCCTGTAACACTTCGTAACAAAAGCTCCGACCCCCCCAAAAAAATTACGTGACGAAATATGGCCCCCCCCCTTCATAATTTTTTAAATGAGATAAATAAACAAGTAAAATGCATTTGAAAAGAAACTCGTTCATTAAACACTCATAACTAACACTCTGGATTACACACATTGAGAGATGATTAAAATGTTTTAGAAAAGGAAAGGAAAGTTTTTTTTCATTCGGTTCCTTCTTCAAGGAAATAATTTTCCTTTGTCTCAGTTCATTTTGATTGATGATGATCACCCATTTGAGATTTAAAAAAAAGAGTAAAAGGAGACAGGGAGTTGTGGAGTAGAATGGTGGAAATAGAGATCGCGATGCAGAGAGAGAGACGAACTAGGGCAACGTCCAAAGGGTAACTGAGCCTGAGTGCGCGGGTCCAGGCATGGAACTTCGACTTAGTAAATTTTGCAACAGGGGAGAGGGAAGTCAACAGACGTTCCCACGCTCCTAATGCCCACTCCACTGTTAGTAGGGTAGTGAGTGCGGTTGGGCAGTAGGGTTGGCTCTTGTGTCGTGTGAGTGATTTGTTAATAAACAATTACCCTTCTAATGAGAAATTCCAGTCGCATAATTTATTTATTTTTTATGGAAAAAACCTGTTACGTGACAGTCGTGCACCCCCCCCCCCCTCCCCCCCCCCGTAACAAATCATGACACTTTGTCTGATCCTCCCCTCCCTCCCTTGTTACGTAATTTGTGAACGGCCCCACATTGGCCCGATCTTAGCAGCACACATGCACCCTACATCACATGCTCACTTTCCGCCAGCATTGGACCAACGTTGCCAACCCACATCTACATTCAGCCAACTCTGCTAACCTTCAGGCAATGTAGGCACAATGTTTCATGCTTACTGGGATTAGGGTTACCATATTTCGGACAGCCAAAAAGAGGACGTTTAAAAGTCGGGCGGAAATTTGAAAGCGAAAAAGGCAGACATGTCCATGGAAAATATCCGGACGTATTGGACGTAAAGGGACGCCTTTTTCCCGAACGGAAAGCTAAGAAAGAGGACATGTCCGAGAAAAACTGGATGTATGGTAACCCTAACTGGGATGTCTCTTTCAATCTGCGCCATCATGTCTCTTTCGGCCATCATGATGAAAAACTTCCTCATCCGTTCCGTCAGAGTTCTCCCCTCATTTCCTCTTGTGAATGACAAATCAGGCACATCTGAGCGCTACTAACATCAGGAAGGGAACACTGAAAGGTGGTTGACCCTACCCATCGTATTCGCTTTTCCATTACAGGGTAATTGTGATTTTCAATTGAAAGAAATTTTACTTTGGCCCATGTTGAGATAACACTTCTTACCGAGGTACGAAAGAGCCTGATCAGACCAAAAGAAAGAACGGTACGAGGAAGCGGAGTGAATCATATCCCTATCTTGCAGAGTATTTATTTCCCTTTGTTTTCCTTCCTCCCACTGCTAGTCATCCACAGTGGATAGCAAAGAGGAAGAGCTTGGCACCATTCAACCTCTGTGCTCAGGACCAATCACAGCTCGCTCTCTCAGAGGAACGTAAGCTGATAAGATGGCGGATGTGAATCTTGGCTTCTCGACTGCACTGAGTGAACGCCTCCTTCCCGGTTCCTCTTGTGAAACAAACTGTGAAACTGCTAAGCATCACCACAATGTGGTGATAAGCAGTGGTGATGCTTAGCATCAGCTTCGACATTTCTAAGTATTATGACCTTCCTGTTCGTTTCCTTCGTCTGGCATATTTGACTAGTTGACCGATCACACCGTATGATAGGCTATATCGCCGATTGCTAATTTAGGCCTAACCGTAACATTAGACCCAGTTCTTTCATTGTTCTAACTTCGGAGCCTCAAACATGGTAAATAGGACGACTGTCATGAGGGAGAGGGGGGGGGGGTATTCAAGGACCATGAGCAACCATCACTAAAAGGGCATCCTAGCCTATTTGTGACTGTCAAGCGTACCAATATATCAATCCAAGAAATAAGCTCAGAAGCACATGCTAAGGAAGCTTATTCAAAAAGTGTTTCTGTATATAATGCACACTAAGGAGCGTTGCAATTGTGCCCAATAACCTTGAAAGTGGTATAGTAAGGTAAAGATAATAATTGAGGCCATATCCCCAAGAAATAAAGATGGGTATTATGAGTAACGTCAACTACACGGTAGTCGCCATGTATCCCAAAGTTGCCATCAACACTTCACGCCAAACTCACAATGCAAGGCGTCACTTGTGTTATTACTGTTCTGAAGGTGGGACCATCCCACCTCATTGTGTTCACTCCCTAGGCTAATGGGAATGAGGTTCACATGTCAAACCAGCATGCCTTGTGTTCGACCAGTACAAGGCAATAAGACCTGAATAAGGAAGCAATATGAATGGCAAATACGAAGCATCCTTGCTCAGAAGTTGCCATCCATGGATGTAAGGAAAAAAGTGTCTGCTTAATGCAGGTGCATACACGTGGAATGACGGCCAATTCATGCATATCACATGTAAAGCCAAAGTGTCTTAGGCCATGATTGGAATAAAGTTCCGTTGCCATAGTATGGAGATAGTGATTGAACTAGCTATCTAGTGATGACTACTGTGTTGATAATGTTAGAGACTAAAAAAACAAGGTCTTGCTCTATGTTCTGCCTCAAACTTATTTGTGGTAGAATGGAAAGCTCAGTCGTTGAAATTCTTTGTTAGTGAAAGGTTCAGAGATTAAGCTGGATTACAATAAAGGGCTTGCAGATTGAAGTGATACTACAAGAAGTACCTATGAGGAGCTACTCCCACTCCTCAAGTGAACATACACTAGGCTTAGGATGCTGGTTTTTGGACACCATCACTTTTATCATCATAGTTAAACTAATTCAATCTCTTGTGTTTTATTGATGAATGTGATCACAATTTTGACTGCAGTGGTTGGTTTTTTGTCGTGTAGTATTTGGCATCTTTGCTTTCTGATGCCCAGAATGTGTTCATGTTTCCATGAAATACTGAAAGCTTCATTCAGCAGGGTTAATCCTCTTGTTAATGAATATATATGATGGATATGCTTTATTTGAGTAATTTCTGTATTAATACCCAATACTAAGTGTGAGCCCAGCAGACTTCATTGGTCCCCTTGCTTCAGCTATTTTCAAGTCCTGGTCAAAGTTGCATTAAAGGTCAAGGAACTTCTTCAGGGCCTTCTTTGTGGTTCAATCTTGGGTATGCTTACATAATCAACCTTCTGGATGTATCAACAAACAGTGGGACTTAACAGGATATCATAAGCCTAGGCTTCATGATCATATCTTAGTAGTACCACTTTTGCAAGATGTCACATAAACTTGCTTGTACCATTTTCTAGCATATATCTGGATTAGTTCTCTTTCTTATGCCACCTGATGACAGTTATGTGATTGTATGTATCATATGAACTGAATGGTTCTGCTGAAATGGTTGGTGTCTTAAGTGGCTCAAAAGAAGAGGGAATAACTGATAAAATGAATTCATGTATAGCCCAATGGCATCTCTTTGCATGAAGAGACAGTTTCTGTCATGGTAACTTTTGTCTTTGGAGTCACCTAATGCATCTATCATTTTGAGAATAATTCATAACCTGAAGAGGCAATCACATAACTATTGGCATCATACAGCAAGACACCTCAATTCAAAATCTGTTTAATGTAGCCTATTACAGGGAGAATAATGTTATGCATTGCTGTGCTGTTTTAGGTCTGTCTACTTGGATGATCAGTTTGAATAGCAGTTTAACTCACCCTTGATAAGACACTTCTGACATGGAAGTTGCATGGCCTGAATCTGGTTGAGGCACTGCCTCCCAGTTGACACCAGCCTCTTGGATATACCACTTGTTTTCTTTTCCCTGTGTGGTTCATTCCATAACATCCAACCATGGAGTATCAAATGCAGCAGCCCTCTAAACATGGTGAGTACCTCATGTGATCAAAGGGGGTCATTATTCAGTAATGGGAGGAAGATCTATTATTAGATACTTTAGTTTAGTGTCTCATAGATTTTCAGCATTTTGCAGTATTGATCAAGACATTCTATCATTCACTTCCTTGGCTATTCTCATCTCACATTTGAAATATGTCTTTAATTCAGAATGAGCCACTTCAAAATGGAACATTGAATGTTTTTTTCCAGTTCATGGATCATATGCTGGCAGTGGTGGAGGAGACATGAACAAGGATGGGACCCTTCTTTGGCAACAGGGGAATTATTTAGGGGGAGATTCAGGGATACATTCTGAAGCTGTGACTCAGGCACCTTCCCTCTCAGGGAAAGATGATGACATGGACACAACCATGTTTGATATGGACACTGGGTTTCCACCATCAGGATTTACTGCACAGCAAGTGGATGAGATGAATGCTCAGCTGAATCAGACACGTTCTCAGCGTGTTCGAGCTGCGATGTTCCCAGAAACAATGGAAGAAGGCATTGAGATCCCTTCCACTCAGTTTGATCCCAATCAGCCAACTGCAGTGCAACGCTTAGCTGAACCTTCACAGATGCTGAAGCATGCTGTAGTGAATCTGATCAACTATCAGGTTCGTGTCTTAACTCATACCTTTTGTGTGTAGTCGAACATGATGTTTCATCAGGCTCCTCAGGTTCACAATGTCTCTGCTTTGTTTACAGGATGATGCTGAGCTGGCTACCAGAGCTATTCCTGAGTTGATCAAGTTACTAAATGATGAGGATCAGGTTGTTGTTTCACAAGCTGCCATGGTTGTGCATCAGCTCTCCAAGAAGGAAGCTTCTCGACATGCAATTATGAATTCACCTCAGGTGACTGACCTGGATCCTCTCCATTTTCTTTGTGTGATGATGTTGATGATGATGATGACAAGGAAAACCACTTCTGTTATTGATGTACAAGATGGTTGCTGCATTGGTGAGAGCTTTGAGCAACAGTAATGACCTGGAAACCACCCGTGTTACTGTTGGAACCCTCCACAATCTCTCACACCACAGCCAGGGTCTTCTTGCCATTTTCAAATCCGGAGGCATTCCTGCACTTGTAAAACTGCTAAGGTGAGTTATTCAAATCTGTCAATTCCTATGAAAACCCATCATTGTACCCCTTTTAGCCTCTAGTGAATTTACAAATACAATATTGTATGCATTTTTTCTCTATGCAGCTCACCTGTGGAGAGTGTTTTATTTTATGCAATCACCACACTACACAATCTCCTGCTTCATCAAGAAGGATCCAAAGTTGCAGTTCGTCTTGCTGGTGGGCTGCAGAAAATGGTAGCCCTGCTTCAACGGAACAATGTCAAATTCTTGGCAATTGTCACAGATTGTCTTCAGATCTTGGCATATGGGAATCAAGAGAGCAAGCTTATTATATTGGCATCACAGGGCCCTGTGGAATTGGTCCGCATCATGAGGTCATATACCTATGAAAAACTTTTGTGGACTACTTCCAGAGTACTCAAAGGTAGGAGACTGGACTGGGATCATGGGAAGTATTGCTGTGGCAAGAGATTGATGACACATAATATGTTTGTCTTTTAGTGCTGTCAGTGTGTTCCAGCAACAAACCAGCAATTGTTGAAGCAGGTGGTATGCAGGCATTAGCCGTCCACCTGAGTTCTCCAAGCCAAAGGCTCGTCCAAAACTGTTTGTGGACTCTCCGCAACTTATCAGATGCAGGAACCAAAGTTGTGAGTTTTAAGGTGGTTTCAGTATTTTGAAATTTTTTAGGCAATATAGTCATTCCAGATGCTCATGGAATTCCTAGATAGTTATTATTGTTCATGAATGTCTGAAAAATCACTTCTGCTATTCTAGGATGCCATGGATCAACTTCTGGGTGGCCTTGTGCAGCTCCTTGGATCTCCAGATATCAATGTGGTTACATGCTCAGCAGGGATCTTGTCCAACCTGACATGCAACAATCAGAGGAACAAGGTCACTGTTTGCCAGGTTGGAGGCATTGAAGCTCTTGTTCGAACCATCATAAATGCAGGCGACCGGGAAGAGATCACAGAACCTGCTGTAAGTTCCTATAATTGGTAAACATTCATGACCCATTAGAAGAAAAAAGCAGTAAATGTAGCAGGTAATCAGAAAATGAGAGAACATGAGAAACATCCTTGCTTTCCTTTAGTGAGGAAAACAGCACCTTGAAGGCAGAAAGCATGAAAAGACTGAAAACATCGAGCCAAATTGAACATGATTGATTGGGTTTATCAAAAATAGAGACACTGTCAATTTTGGATTGAAGCAACTTTCCTAACTTGTAGCTCATGTCTTGAGGCAGGTTAGACTGCTAAAGACAATGAAAATAACTTTTTTAGGAAGGTGTCCAGGATGAGGGAAATGTAAAAGAAAATTGGCTTACGAATTTAAATGCCATGGAGATGTTTTGAGCGATTAGAAAGATGTCCTACAATTGTCCTAATAATGAAATTGGGCATAAAGTACTTGCAGTAAGGTAAATCACTCTATAAAATGCTGAATGTATGAATGCTGCTTTGTCTAAGATGATGCATCGACCTTGGGATATATATGGTATCAGCTAGTATTCAATAACTTGAATCCTTTCACATGTCAAGTGATTATAAGTTGCCAACTTATTACAATTCTGGCTCTAGAGATGAATTGCTGTCAGGATTCATTCCCCATTCCATCCAGCATGGAGGATCCTCATTCTTTTCTCATGTGCTGCAGAAGCTTTCCTCATGATAACTTGTTACTTGAGTCAGTCCACACTTATGAGGGTAGAAATGAAATGGCAGTGAAAAACTTCCAGATGTAAAGGTGTAAACTTAATGTAATATGCGACCTAACCCATGGATCACCTAGGCCAGTGGTTCCCAAACTTTTTTGGTCACAACTCAAAATTCAACATCCAAACCCTGGGTTTGGGAACCCCTGATCTAGGCAAATGATTTCCTGTTGATAATAGTACTGGAACTCATATAAATTATGATGTATGAAACATGACAGATTTTGGGAGTGTCTTGTGGTATACCAAATTTGGTGCATGTTTTGAAAGATATTACCAAAATGGATATGGAGGGTTTGCTGCTGATGTCATATACAATGTGGAAGCCTGAATTTTCTGATGTCTACCTAATACGAGGGGCCATTCAGAAATTCGTTCATTTCGATGCTTGCCATTGTGGGGGACGGTTGAATTTTTTGCATGTGTTTCCTGTGGTATTGATGAACTTACGAAAAAATTTTCAACCCAACGAGAAGCAATGGAGACCAGAAAACGAAGAACAAGTGAGGCTGGTCCAAGTCAATTTCCGGCTTATAGTAAAGAGCACCTGCGCGCCATCATTTCCTTCAGTTTCCGGCGCGGTTTGAGTGCAAAAGATTGTGCGAAAGAGCTACAAACGGTACTTGGTGATGAAGCCCCGACTCTGCGCTGGGTGCAGAAGTGGTTTGCCCGATTCAAAACGGGACATTTCGTCCTGGAGGACAGCGCGGTTTGAGTGCAAAAGATTGTGCGAAAGAGCTACAAACGGTACTTGGTGATGAAGCCCCGACTCTGCGCTGGGTGCAGAAGTGGTTTGCCCGATTCAAAACGGGACATTTCGTCCTGGAGGACGACCCTCGTGAGGGGCGCCCCAGAACGTCAACGGACGATCAAAATGTGGCGCGTGTGAAGGAGAGCGCGGTTTGAGTGCAAAAGATTGTGCGAAAGAGCTACAAACGGTACTTGGTGATGAAGCCCCGACTCTGCGCTGGGTGCAGAAGTGGTTTGCCCGATTCAAAACGGGACATTTCGTCCTGGAGGACAACCCTCGTGAGGGGCACCCCAGAACGTCAACGGACTATCAAAATGTGGCGCGTGTGAAGGAGGCAATCGACGAAGACCCTCGAACGTCACTGGAAAAGCTTGAAGAACTTCTAGGAATTGATGCCACATCAGTCGGAAGAATTTTGCACGACCACCTCGGGTACAGCAAAAAATCCGCCAGGTGGGTGCCCCGACTGCTAAAACAAGAGGAAAAGGACGCCCTCGTCAATTTCTGCCGCCAGTTCCTAGCAGACTTCAAGGATGGGACATCTGCCAACTTCCAGAACATTGTAACTGGCGACAAAGCATGGTTTCACTTCTTGGATCCGGAAACAAAGGAGCAATCCAAAGTTTGGTCGAAAAAAGGAGAGGCGCCCCCGCTCAAGGCCAAACGAGTGAAATCAGCTGGGAAAACCATGTTTGCGATTTTCTTCTCCCAACAAGGCATCGTTGCATCTGTCCCACTTGAGGAACGCAAGACTGTGACCTCTCAATGGTACACAGAAAACTGCCTACTGGTAGTTTTCAAAAATTTGCTCAGAGGTCGCCCCAAGTCGGAACTCAGGCGCCACTTCTTGCACCACGACAATGCCCCAGCCCACACTGCCAGCAAAACGATTCTCTTCATCGGCGCCTCTGGCATCAACCTGATTGAGCCACCACCTTATTCCCCGGATCTGGCGCCATGCGACTTTTGGTTGTTTGCAAAAGTCAAGGAACTGTTGCGTGGAAAGGTGTTTCGGACACGCGAGGAATTGATTGAAGCAGTCAACAGTCGGCTTGACCTGCTCACAAAATACGATTTCAAGCAGTGTTTTCAAGATTGGCTGCGGCGCCTTCGAAAATGCATTGATGTCGGCGGAAATTACGTTGAGAGGACTTGAATGAACCCCCTTTCAGGGAAAAGTGAGGAAAAAAATGTAGCACACTTCCTTCTATAAAAATGAACGAATTTTTGATTTGCCCCTCGTATATATTACTTGAGTATTTGAATTCTGGTCTTTGAATGAAGGAAATAAGCTTCTCTTTGCTGTTCTCCCTCCCCTCAGATGATCCTGAATTTACTGAAAGCTGTTTGCATACAACTCTGCTACTGAGTGAAACTGCCACTTGTACCATGCCGCATTAAGATGTACTATTTTTCACGAGGATCTGCTTAGCTTGGTGATTTCTAAGCACAAATCCTCAATAGCTTAAATTTGCTTATTGCTGAAATCTCTCTTGGAATTCTTGTCAGAGAATGCCAAGTAAAGTAGGGTATTTCCCATCTTCCTAAAGACTTAGACTGTTCTCTACACAACCCTATTCATAATTAAGAGCATAATTATCCCCTTTCTTGGGAGTTCAAAGCTGGCCAGAAGAGTGATTCTAAAACTAATATGAATCAAGACCAATGCTTCCTACTGGGGAGAAATTCTATCACCTTAATAGACATTGTAATGCTTGCTTGGATATCCTTTTCTGTAATACTTGATTAGGCTTTTGGCTGTCAGTTTTGTTTTACCTGGCTTACCACTTGACTGATCCATTTTAGTTACAAGTTACTACATTTCTCTTCTCTTCATGAATGATTCTGCTTTTTCAGTTTGTTTTGGTTTGAGACACATCCACATGCCAAATATTTTTGGACTGATTCCTGGGTCATTCGGTGTTCTAACTTATATTATGTGAAGCAGTTTTCCCAATCACATCTATGGTCGCTTCCCAGATGGATTCATGTCTCTCATGTTGAGAATGTGCAACTTGGCTTGAAAACATTTTCATTGGGTCAATGAGGAAACCAGGTCTATCATGAATATGTGTAAGGCTTGATAATGTGGATGTTCATAAAGTCACAAGTTCTTGATTTTTAATGCCAATACAAGTTAAGTGCACCCATGATTTAGGCCAGTGCATCTCAATCTTTTTATTTCACAGCACACTTTCAAGTTTGCTCAATCCTCATGGCACACCAAACCAAATTTCACAATGTCAATGTGTATCATATTAATAATAATACTAAAACATAGTGATGTTCTTTCTTTTCCTATAATTCTGAAAATACTGTGGCACCTCAGGGACTTGGTTACAGCGCACCAGTAGGGAAGCACTGATTTAGGTTAATGTCGTTAGAGATGCTGTTGAGGCTAAGTATGGTGGATGTTCTTCTTTTATATAGGTGTGTGCCCTCCGCCACTTGACAGGCCGCCACCCACATTCAGAAATGGCTCAGAACACAGTTCGTCTCCATTATGGGCTTCCAGTAATAGTGAAGCTGTTGAATCCACCATCAAGATGGCCATTGATCAAGGCTCTTATTGGTCTGATTCGGAACTTAGCATTATGTCCAGCTAATCATGCTCCCCTCCGGGAGAATGGTGCCATTCCTAGACTGGTACAGCTCCTTGTGAAGTCCTTCCAAGACACCCAGAGGGTAAGAGAATATGAACATGATTATACATTGATATGCAGCATGTTCCTCAGGATTGCAGTGGTAGAAGTAGTGTGTTTTTTCAATTCTAGCGAGCATCAGTGGCAAGCAGTGCAAGTTCTCAGCCAAGTGTGTATGCAGATGGTGTTCGTATGGAGGAGATCACTGAAGGGACAGTTGGAGCTCTACACATTTTAGCAAGAGACCCTCACAACCGAGCTATCATTCGGGGTCTCTCTGTCATTCCCATTTTTGTCCAGCTGCTATATAATGAGATAGAAAATATCCAAAGGGTGGCAGCAGGGGTTTTGTGTGAACTTGCATCAGACAAAGAAGGTGCTGAGATGATAGAGCAGGAGGGAGCCACTGCACCCCTAACAGAACTACTCAATTCCCAAAATGAGGGTGTTGGTAAGTGACGCATTGATTCCAAATAATTTATTGTGTGGATTCAGCCAGTGTGAAGATCAGAAGTAAGCAGTAACAGAAATTCAGATCAAACTTGTACTATAAAGGTGACAAAATAATTTGTGTGCACTCATTTGTTACTATGACTCAGATTTCTGAGTCTACCCTGTCCTTTGGAATAGAGGGAAAGTGGAGAAGTAAGTAATTTTTCAACACCTATTGAATATTTCCCAGCTCCCATATGAAGGCTTCAAGTACCAAAGAATCTGCAGTTTTTTCTTAATTTTTTCCTGGAATTTTTGGATGCATCATGCTTTTTTTTTTAAATTGATCACTCCCTTGAGCAATTTATTTATTTTCCCTGTACTTATTATTTGCACTTGTCAAAAGGTCACAACTGAGTAGGCCATAATGCTAGTATACTTTAGGTAAAAAAATTTAGCACTTTTTTCCCCACTTCCCAAAAAGCTCTACCAAGTGATTCTCTCCCTGGTGTACTTGCCTTTTTGTTGGACAAAAAAAAATCAATAAATAGTATAGTCGCTTTGGTTATTCCTCTGCATTTGCTCCTGTCTTGATTCTTTTTCCATTTTTCCTTCTTAATGATGAAGAACTGTAAGATGATTTCAAATGGCCTATTTTTTCAGGTTTCTGGATTTATCTAGGAATTTCCAGATTTGAAAAAAAATTGAAAAAGCATTGAAATATTCCCCTCCTAATCTTTTCTTCATACCAAGTTTTTGCTTCAAAATCTCTTATTATTCAATAGTCATCCAGAAAAAGCTGACTGAATTTGAAAACAAGTGAAAGTCTCTGAGAAAAACTTTTTTCTTTGCCATTAGTAGAAACCCAGACTAGTGTATGAAAAACTGCATGCTTTTATTATAATCACCACAGTTTGAGAGATCTTTTCTTGTCATTCACAGCAACATATGCAGCTGCAATCCTATTTAGGATGAGTGAAGATAAGCCACAAGACTACAAGAAACGGCTATCTCAGGAGCTTACCAACTCATTCCTGTTTCGTGAAGACCCAGGAATGTGGACAGGATCTGAATTGGGAATGCCAGGAGATTTGCAAGATATGATTAGAGCTGCAGATCAAGGCTATGATGGTCTCTACAGTGGAGGACCACCAAGTGTTCATAGTGGCCATACTGCCCCAACTCCTCGACCTTATCTGAATGCTACCCAAGGTCTGTGGCTTCTTTTATATTGATACTTTGGTGTATGTCATTTTGAAGTACTTGTTTTGAGATTGATTTGTGATAAGATAGATTTTTAGAATATTGAAAACCAGAGGAACATGATCACACTCCATTTGTGATGTGTAAATATTGTGTTAACAAGAACTGACTGAATGAAATGCAGAGAAGAAAAATTCAGCTGATTGAGATTAAATCAATTTTAAAAGTCCCTGGTCCAGATCAAGTTGATCATACTTGTATATTTATTCACTTTTCTCCCTAGCTTACTCAAAATTATGGAAGTTTCTACATCTGAACTATAATTGTCATTGTTGAAAAAATTGATGGAACTACAATAACTGATTTGTATCTGAATCCACATCTTAATTTGAGATATCATAACTAGATAAGACTATCCCACCCAATGAGCTTCAGAACATTGCTTCAAAAAGGCATTAAAGAGTTATGTTCCATTTTCCCTCATTATTCACATGTACATGTGACAATTTTCCACCTAGTTACAGTATTCAAAACCAACCCAAGGTATGTGGAGTATGTCAGATAGTGAGTAGAGAAGGTAGCTTAACTATTGTCTTTCAGTTTATCAGCCACAATGGGAGAATGTTTTGGCCCTATTTGTGAAGTTTCATTATATTTTTAGGCTTGGATGCCATGGATCATCATCACATGGGAGGTTTAGATCATTACGGAGGGATGGACCCAATGGACTTCCCGCAAGGAGACATGCCTATGCCTCCACAGCCTCCCCAAGACAATAACCAGGTTGCAGCCTGGTATGACACTGATCTCTAATGCCCACACCTATCATTTTTCTCTTTCTCTGTCATCTTTTTCTGAGCATTCCTATCAAGGTTCAGAGCCATTGAGACTTTAATCGGACGCTTGAATTTGTTTTCTTGTACATATTCATGCTGCATGGGTGACCAATGTAAGATGTCTTTGTCATTTTTCAGCTTGACCTCTTCTCCACTAACCTGCCACAGACATTTTCCAAATTTTTATTTCCCCCATGCATTGATCTATTTTCAGTATTTTATTCCCTCATGCATTGAATGGAAAGAATCAAGGAAGAAGCCTCATCATTTTGTACATGATTCTGATTTGATTAGCATTCTTTAATGTTTGTCATTTATGTTCACTCTGACTTTCCATTTCTTTGATCATTTGGGCATGTTTGTGAGAAACTGTTGCACATATCAAAAGAATAAATTACCTTTCTCTTCCTTACTTGCCCCTTTCTTTGTCATACCTACTCTGAGACGAAAGTGCCATTTTGAAATTTGACTTAGGAAAGGATCTCATTGTCAATCATGAGTGACTTAATTTCTGGACTTTGTTACTTGGTTCATTAGATAATATGATTTTGGATGTGGGATCACTCCATGTGACTCATGATTGCATTGATACTGATGATGTACTTCATTCTCCAGGAAAACTTGTCTGCCTCAAATAAAAAGAACTAAACCATGAGATTCGAAATGGTTGAAAAGAAAAATTAGAATTTAATGCTGGAAAAACCTTTCTAATCCCTGAATCTGTGATCAGAAACACAGCATGCCAAATGCCAAATCTCAATTTCAGGGAGAAATTACAGCATTGTGAATTCTGACATTTAATCAGGAGGTTGCGGTTAACCTTATAGCGACGAAAGAACCTGGATTAAAATTTGTCTTGGAAAAGCCACACGAGGTATTCAATAATTATCTCACGTGCACGTTCGATTGCCTGTCTAGAGCCCAGTCCGCATCAAGTGATGCCTTCAGGTGTTAGATAAAGTATATGAGATGGAATCAGGACGGCTGGAGATGGATTAGTAGATCGGTGTGGTGGCTTGGTTCCTCTTTTAGGGAAGGGGGACTCGAGAGCTGCGCTTGGGATGAGTGAAGGACTCGTTTCCGGTACGTGGTTGGACTCCGTTGGGGTTGCGTTCTCTCTCCTTTTCAATTCCTCGTGTACGAGGTAAAGGGATAGAATCTGTAGGCATAGCTCTGGCCCCGAGGGTGTCAGCATCGGTGGTATTGAGGTGATACTTCTCTTTGCCTATGATGCCGTCCTTTTGACCCGGTCTCAACAGGAACTTCAGGACGTATTCAATCGGCTCGACTCGGAATCTACTGCGGCTGGAATTAAATTGAACATCCCAAAAACGCAGATTATGGTCCTCTCGAGAAGTCCTTACGCATTTGGGGGGGGGGGGGGGGGGGGGGTTGGCATTGGAACATAATATTGATTAATTGTAATCAATATCAAATCAGTGCTCTGAGTTCTCGTGTAGAGATAGCACAGTCATGTTTTCAGAAGATATTATTTCCAAAGTTCAGGATTGAAGGTTAAGGACTTGAAAAAGCACTTTCGCCCATTATGACGTACCTTGTCAAGGTCGAGCGTCCATGCATGGTCAGATGTGCCTACCCCCTTTAATGGGATATATTTTTGCGAATATGCCAACCTACTGCCTAGTCACTTACATCACTCCCATTTCTTGTGTTTCGTCAATGACGGCATTCAACCTCTTCTTAAATCTAGCCGCGGTAGGGCAGCCACTACATCGTCACTCAACGCATTCCACGCACTTCCCCACGAGTAAAGAAGTCATTCTGTATACTGAGTCTCACTTGGAGCTTACCAGGACTTCTCGTAATGTGATTCCCCTTGCTAGCCCTCTTTCTGATATGAACACTGGACAGTAAATGAGAAGTGAGAATATGGGATTCCGGCTTCTAAAATACAGTAGATCAACTTTTCGCAATCTTCTGAGTCGAAAAGCTTGGGGTCAAGATCCTGAAGGTGGCAGCAGCTTCACATTAAAACGATGAATCCGAATGCAATAACATGCACGATTGTACACTGCATTTATTTTTTTTTAGACAAAATGCATTGTACATCACTATCAGCAGCATTTCACAAGAGAAAAAGGTTTTCTTTTTTCTCTGTGGGCGGATGAGCGGCCATAGAGACTTTCTTTTTGCCTTCGATGAGGCAAGCAGAAGTTCCTTGTTGGAAGATCATCTCTTCCCTTCTCCAATGGACTCCGCTTTTGCCTGAGTTCAGATCCACATAGAATGGTTATTTTCTGAAAACCAGTTATGAGAAATGATCAGGTGATATGTCTTGAACTCCTCTTTACTAGTTCATTTCGAGATTGAACAAGTATTATCCTACGCTTATCAATGACGACACTTGTTTGTTACCAGCCCGCCGATTTTCTTACTTCTTCATTTTAAAAAAGTCTAGATGATTCAGCATAGTCCGAAAGGACACTGAATGCGGCTGATGGGGATAATTGTACGAGTAGTGTATAATGATAAGAGCTGTGGTTTTCTCTGTCGCCTCAAAAACTCTGGGTCGCTTGCTCATGAGGACTCGGATAGGTATGGCATGATGATTCTACTTTGTTTTTTTAGTTTCATCTAGTTGTACCCGTATCTCCTTTGACTTCAACGCTCCCTCTTTCCTTTCTCCTCTTCTTCAGACCTTTGAAAGAGAGAAAAGGGAAAAACAGCAATCACCTAATAAGCTGAGAGCCCTGTGCAACAGCAGGTATGCTTTGAATTTCTACATGTTAAATTTCACGGTGCTGGCCAAATTATTACGCTAGACATTAAAAATATCAATTTCACTGAATGAAACATTTCCTTGAATCCAGAATCAATGCTTAGTGACATTACTTTGCCACTGATAACATCTTTAACCCTCTTGGGCAGGCTTTGATCGACGAAGCGCGCGTCTTTTATTTCTGGGTATCAATGCCAAACTCTCTTAATTAGAGCTTCTTTGTTGGTGTGCCTCAAGTCATTCATTGCCTTCCTTATGCACCATAGGTAATCTATTAAGTTATGAACACATTGTTTCCATGCGAAAACCATCCGTTTACAGAGGGGATCAGCCTTTTGTTCAAAATACTCCTCCTTTTTCTTTTTGGTTCCATTGACATTTTGATTGTACGGGCATGGAAAACCTTAATATAAGGAATTGGGAAGACTGCCTCGAAAAATCATGTACGCTACTGCGCAATTATGGAAGTTGTCGCGGCACGATCATTCATGAATGCATCGAGTCCTCGATACGTCAGATGTCGATATGGAATGTATCGAACAGCCTTGCAGTTGGCTGTTCCCATGATGACTTAGCTGGAGGTTATTCTTGATCTTCTGTAGACTCATTTTTGAAGTGAATATTGAACCGATATGCAACACGATATTAACATATTGTTGGAAAAGAGGGAGGGAGCGAGTTATCCGGCCGTCACTTGAACTCACAAAGTCCCTGCAACAGAAATGAGATGGCGCTTAAATCGCCAATTTAACGAGTCACCCCCAGATGGAACTGGAGTACACTATTACTTTCCATGTGGAACTCCATAGTTTCTTCACAAACGTTACAAGGGAATATATTGTAATTTCTGTATACAATTTACGAAATAAGTAACCCAGTCCAATGAGACAGGGTAATTGTAGCCCTGAAGATGGAGGAGGGATGGTTCAAGTAGGGATATGACTCCATGGGCATGTTTCCATGCCATAACTATATTGAAACCAGTCTCATTTCAAGAGAATTCAAGTCGACTCAACTGGACATAAAATGTTGATTCGACGCGCGAGTTAATAAAACATTATATGCTCTCATAGGGCTGATTCAATCTTGCTGTGCATACTAGGATGGCCCACTGGAAACGCTTTCCAATCATAGAGTTAGCTGCAGTTTGCGGCGTTGTCGACGTGCTTCGAGACTAGAAAATTGGAGCCTCCTACTTACGGCTCTCCCGGTCATCTGCGCTGCAGAGGCAGTAACATCAGTTTTCTGTTCATATGGTTGGCGGTACTCCGTCTGCGTCCACACCTTTCGGTTCGATGAGCAGATCATGAGCGCACGGATTTAATAACTAATCCGCACAACTACCACCCTTTCGACTCACGCACACTTTCAGGGCAACCTTGGCCTGAGTCTCTCTTTAAAAAATCCATTTCCTTCTCCTCTCCGCTCTCTTACCCATGCCTCCAGGAATTTCAAGATAGGGTAGAAAAAGGCACCTGGATCCAATTCACAGCTCCCTTGTCGGGACGCAACTGATTTCGCCCAAATAAACCTTTACACTTGGGCCATCTTTGGTTTAACGGAACAAACAAGTTTGGATTCGCAATACAACCTAGGGCATGATCACCCAGTAATGAGGTGTGCAAGTGATCCTAAGTAAGTGTATCAGTAATCCTAAGACGACATGTATCACTTCGAGACAGTCAAAAGATATGGGGAGACAACAGAAAGAAACCAGGGAGAAGTCGCGCTAGCCTCGTTTTCGCAGTGCTCCATTGGCATATTCCATGCATGAGATATAAAGAATTACTCGATAAACGAATTTCCACGTGTTCTCCAGTTCCTAGCGTAATAATTTCGCCAGCACTCCGCATTCTGGATTCAAGATCCAGCATGGAGCTATGGGGGTGAGAACGAGAGCGAGACTCACCAGAAAGGAGTTGAAGCGTAAAAAAGAGAGCAAGAAAAAGGAAAGTAGAGAGGATGAAGGCCCCAGCCCCAGCAGCCATGACAAGAGGCAAGGAAATCTCATCCTCCTTCACTAACAAACCAGAGAAACACAGTACTTAGTTACATGGATACGGAACAAGTCATCCTTAATTGTCCAATATGAGAAAATAGCTTAGATTATTCAATCACAGTTCTCCTCTTTCTTTTCTTTTTCCAACCATTTGTGTGATTCGAAAATGCCGCAACAGCTGATGGTGGGGACCCTCCTACTTCATTCTGTAGGAGCTAACAGATCCCGTCAAACCCTAGCCGAGGCTACAAATAACAGATTTAGCAACTATTTCTTCTCGCATCTCCATGATGAAGCATCTTTTAACATGGCCAATATTCGAAGCAAGATTAATAAAAATTCACAACATCGCAGGGTACCACATCGTTCAAAACCACAAGATGAAATATAATAAAAGGGGTAGGGCAAAAGGACTTCCTAACCTGACCTTAAGGACCCTGACTTCAGCGAAAGAAAAACAAAAGGATTTCAACAAAATGATATCATTAATGAGAAATTTTCTTTACTGAAACCATTTGTCGGGAATTTTCCAGAAAGTTCTTTTAAAATGATTCTGGGAAGTTTTCTGGTACCAAGGAAAGGAACTGTTCAATCAAGCATGAACTCGTAAAACTTGAGAATTTATTCTCCTCTACAAAGGATTTGGGAAGAGATTTTCCCCTGATATTTATTTATTATTATTATTATTATTTTTTTTTTACTGAAGGGGACATGATGCAAACAGCTGCCACACTTCAGTCCCACACCAGTTCCTAGTCCATAGCCTTAGTCCCTACCATCCGATAGAATGGAGGAAGAGGTCGAGGGTGAATGTGATTGCTGGCGAAGATGAAGAGGCCCAGCGCGAAGAATTTCGATTGACTTCTTCCCACATCCTCTTTTCTCCCGAATGCACTGGCCAGATAGAGAAAACAATAGAATTGAATAACATGGGGTTTCCTCTCTCTCCTGATTCTTTGCTGATGTCATCGTCCAAAAGCGCCAGGATCTTGCTAAATTTCTCTGATGGTACTGGTAAACCTCCATCATCCTCACCTTTACAAATATTTTTGTGCCTCCTGGATTCTTCTCCTTCCCTGGTTAAGGAGCCAAAGCGGTTGGGCGTTGCCCAATGACCACCCCCAACGGAAGGTCTCCAGTGACACACATATTGTCATGGAAAATCTCAAGGATCAATGGGAAAAAACGAAAAGTGCTAAAAACGAAAGTGTAACATTCATCACGATAAAGTGGATTGCAAAGTTGAGTGAACGGAACTGGAACAATACCTTAATCGATATTGAGTCTAAGTTTGAAGGTGTTAGACCCCTGAACACGCAATAGCATCGAACTAACAGTACAGAAAGTTCCAGTCGCCAGAAGAAAAGAGAAAACGACATTGATTTCTTTAGATATGTGAAAAATTCCTGGGGAACTCGCCTAATCACAATGTTTGCGAGCATATGGGCTCAATTGTGAAAGGTCGCGTGGAGAAAATGATGAAGAATGAAACAATCAACTTTCAGTCGAGGTTATGGGAGAGAAAAAATTATGATGGCGTTGAACACCCTGAAAAATGTTGATTTGTTCCAATTTTTTTTTAAATTTCAGTCTAAAAGAATTAGGGCATTTTAAAGGCATATGTTGGTAACAACGTTTTGATTTTGCACATAATATTGTGTGATGATAAGAAATCAAGGCAACTATTGTATTTGGTCTAACTTGGCTGGTTTTGTCTGGAGGTAGGGTGGCAGGTATTTTGCACCACCCTTTAGATTCCCAACTTGATCTTCCTCATTGGCATTGGGAGATTCGAAAAGGCTCTGAGAGTATACAATATATTACCAAAAGTATTGGGATAAGCCTCCCTCCGCCGATAACTGATTGTCCAAGAGGTCATGCGGTAGAGGGCATTACGGTAGTCTAAAAGCATATAAAGGTAATCTTCAATCTGTAACAGTCTGTGTTAGGATCCCTAGTAGCATATAACATTGAATCAACATTGATTCAACGATAGTTTAATGTCCGGATGTTGAATCAATGTTGTTTCAATGTTATTTTGTGCTACTAAGGATGTTACAATCTAATGTAAAGTACATTGTATTTTTTTATGGGTAGGATCGAAGGTACACAATGTATTATTACGCAGCATCAAAGCTCTTCAGCATCGAGTCACGTAGGACCAAAACGGGTCCGATAGAACGCCCTGCAACTAGGTGAAATCTACAATACACTGTATTCTGTAAACGACGAAAAAATTTGGATAGGCCGGGATAGCTTGTTTTTCATCGACCCATGAAAAATCCCTCCACATTATGTGCCACAGATTTTCAGAATTTATTCAAGGAGCGACCTTAGTAGCACATAACATTGAATCAACATTGATTCAATGTTGATTCAACATCTGAACGCTGAACCAACGTCGAATCAATGTTGATTCAATGTTATATGCTACTAGGGATATCTTCCACCAGCGAGTCTTTTTCCTTGGAATCGTCAGCGACAAGAAGTAACTACAAAATCGTGGAGAAACTCGACCAACGCCAAAGACTCTCAATTTCCTCCGATAGCTGTCCTAACACTGGTTTTAAAGAAAGCATCCATGGACGAAATTTAAACTTCTATTTGACGAGTTTTTGTGAATCACAGTCTCTGCCAAGTTAGGGAATGTGTCTCCGGCCGGCCGAGATATTTCGTCTGCTAGCAGAAGCACACAAGTACAAAGTGTCTCAGCTTTAAGCGGCGGTGACAACGCCACAAAGACCGAAGTTAAACCCTGTGATTACCAAAACCCGAATGGTCATACGCTTTACTCTTTGTTTCACCTTCCAGAGAATCTCTTCAAAATACTCTGCTATCACATGTCTTCATGAAAATACAAAGTATTGAACTTTACAAAAGTTTACGGTGCAACTTACACAAATGGCTAAATTTTTGTATCAGGGTCCATTGAACCCAGAACGTTAGTTACAGGGTTAAATATGGTTCTTCGGAGGAATGCCAAGGAATTCCCACCTGCAAATCACATGCATTTGCATGAAATCTTTTTGCTACATACGAGGTAGTTAACCTCAAAGTCTAGGAATAAGGCAAGGCAGTATGCACGCAAATATAGCATTGCGCCACTGGTTGATACTCTATTGAGGGTGTGTGCCTGAATATGCCACTGTGCAAATGAACGAACTCATGGCGCATTCAAGAAAGCATCCTTCCTGGCGCTTTTGGCTTCCGGCTATAAGTACCTAAGATATCTTACTGGCATATCAGAAGTTTCAGTTATTCCTCGCCTGGAACAAAGCCCGACTTCACAGAAGATGTAGAAGGATTCGAACCCTTTGAAGGCATCTGCGATCTGCGAAGGGATTAAATTCCATGCTTAAATTCCAACTCAGAGAGGAAAAGAAAAAACAAGGGGGGTGGAGAGAAAGAGAGCGAGAGAGAGAGAGGGGGGAAACTCACTGAGAAAGCGAGGATGGGATGATGATGAGACTTGAATAGGCGTGCAGAAGAGGCAGAAGAGAGGGAACAATTGGTATCCAAGAGCATGAGATTCTGTTTTCCCATTTCCCCATGTCCGTGACTATCACTCACCCAGCATCGATTCATCATAGTCTCCATCTTCGCCTCTCCTCCATCAAATCTCTCCACTAAGCACGGTATCACCATCACCTCCTTCATCATATACCTTGAAGTGGCAATAAGAGGGCAAGAAACGAGCGAGTGACTTACGGCCAAGGGTGGAGATGCGGATGTAAACCCTCTGGGACCAAGTGAAAGTCGAGAGAGGTGGAAGTGGACGTCGCTTTTCCCAATCGACCACTTCTATCTTATGCTTCACCTCTCCTTGCCCATCCGCCTCCTCCTAGATATGCAGTTTCACCGCCTCCATATTTTCATGCGAAGCTGTCCATGAACCATGCATGAGATAAATAATAGTACCTGGAGCAGGCGAGGAGAAGAAGGAAGGTCAAGGAGGCCATACTTGCATTGCAACATGATCGTTAAGGGCTGCTTCTCACCATCCCACTTCGTGTCTAGCTTCGTCAAAATTCGAACCTGCAAGCATAAAAGGGGGTAAGAATCTCTGAGAGTGCCAAGTGTCTTAGGGTAGATTTTTGAACAGAGCACTATCCGGTAATACAGCTTTATTTACCGGATTTATAATGCATTTTCTCTTAAATAAAGCTGCATTATCGGATAATGCTCTGTTCAAAAATCCACCCTTTGTGTCGTTTTGCTCTCTCCAACCTTTCCTTCACCTTCCAAACATACATGATTTACGTAGGAAAAGCTACTCCCAAGGGAGTAGATGTTCGTCCCACAGTCGTTGTACGGGATTTCCAGCAGAACATGGGTTCTGTTTCGATGTGGCTCCACGCAATTCCTTTTCCGAATCCGAACTGTCAATTGCTCTGGCTTGATATGAATTTGCTTGAGGACTCGAAGGGGTACAGTCAATAGGAATCCAGAGTTTCCACAGCGGACAGATAGAGCTCCTTGAAGCAAATCCCATTTCCAGCCGTGTTTCAAAAGTGCTTCTGTTTCTTTCCCCATCGAATATCGAATTGAGAAGTAGATAATAGTTAGAAACGTTGAAAGTCACCGACCGGAAGACCCATGCATATACATACCTATGAGATGCGGTGAGGAAATGGAGCGGTGAAGCTCATCATTCCTGGGACCTGATCAGGAGAGACAGATGGAAGCGCTCTTGGCACGAGTCGATTTTTCATTTAACCACAAGAACGCATTCATTTTGAATATCTGCGGTTACTTAATCTTATCCCCCAAAGCCAATACACAAGTCGATACTTCACTTCATTATTCATGAACTGACTCAAGAATTTTGGAAGGGTAACGAGAAGCAGGAAAAAGATAAGGATGACTCACCAACTAGATTGGGATCCTTGGGAGCCAGACAAAGCTCCAATGTGTCTACGGTGGGATCCGAGATTCGAATATAAGATGCTGGGAGTCCATAATGGAGAGTAGCATGGAGGAGGAGTTTGTCGAATTCATCTGGGAATTCCGTGGATTCCACGTAAAAAACCAGGTGGTCTTCGGGATTACTCACCTCCCCCTCTGCCTGCATACGAAATCCCTCCTTCCATCAAATGACAGGTAATGGAATGCCCTCCGTTTCGGAGACAATCACTCGCAACGATTCTTGTGAATTGTGATTCGTATCGGGAAATTGAAAGTCTCTTTCATTACTCGATCCTATGAAATGCCATCATCTGTTGATAGTGTGGTACAGGAAACTCACAACGACGGTGACATGTGGTCGGTGCAGAAGGTGATGAACCCGAATTTCCCAGGCTCTGTTTCCCTTGAGAAGGAGGGTTACATTTCCCTTGTTTTCACTCAAGGGATGGAAACAAGGCCGCAACAGGATGCTTAACCTTAACCTTTGCTCGCCAACAGCCTCCAGCAAGTGCACATCCCTAGGGGAAATCACAGGTATAGATGTCTAAAACCCTTCAGTACAAAACTGTTCTTTTGAATAACGCTCCTAAAGAGGGGAAGTAGGTAAACCAGCCGCTATGAAGAGTTACAGGAGGGAAGGGTCTGTTACATAAGTATTTAAGACTGATTTTGGATCATGTGAAACCTTGCTACCTTACTATAGACTTCTCGTGGTGCCATGCTTTTTGTGCATCCCTCTGTGGACCTGTGCAAAAAATTCGGAATTTTCTTCACTCTTACAAAGGGAGCAGCGCTAACTCCAGTTTCCCTCCCTATTTACTCTGAGAAGAGAGAGAAGGAAGAAAATTACTCTAAAATAAACTTTTAGAGGAGCAAGGACGGAGAGAGCGGGGAGCTCTGGGATAAAGTAGAATCTTCTTGCGTGTGGCGTTCAAAAAGCAACGAGAGTGAAAAATATATCAAATTAGAGCTGTATGTTGAGGCTAGACAGCCAATTGATAACGTCCGGGGTTGCTTGGTGGATTGCTTGAGTCCTTCCAGGAAATGCGTGAATCAGACAGTGATCGGCGATGTGGCTCATGGTCTGTACTTCGCTTCGCCGCATTCTCTGTTAGGTGAATCCCTGATATCCCATTTATGTAGTAAGTGGCCGCATCTGCCGTGCGTTGTCCGAATACGATTGAGGGCTGTCCAGTGTCTCCGCTTTAGATGGAAGCCTGGGAGCTCCACGGTGGGATCTTCGATTAGGATCTTGTTTGGCACGGCTGCTGCAGACCACTGTTCGCGCCATCGGCAGTTGGCGTCCATTCCACTTGATGACAGGGCGGAGGCGTGAATCCGAAAGGGGTTTCTGGACTTGAGGCGCAGTATTGGGGGCCGGGATATGCCCTGGTGTATCGGGATGTCCCGATCAGCCATTATTTTTTCTTACTCTCGTAGTACGGCCTTTTCACTTCTGACACTGGGAGGAGCGATGTTTGACAACACCGGTAGTCAGGGAAGAGGAGTGGACTTCACGGGTCCACTAACCAATCTCATAGCGGCGTTGATTTGTGTGTCGACTCGCCGGGTGTGTGCGCTTTTGCTCCATACAGGCGCGCAATACTCCGCGGTAGATACGTAACACAAGAGCGAGGGCCAATGTACGGAGGGTTCGAGCGTCTCTTCCCATGATGTTTCGGCAAGTTTCTGGATGATGTTTACCCTCGAACCCGTCTTCTTTCCAGTGCTTTCGAGGTGTTGGCAGTAGTTGAGGGTCCTATCCAGGGTGACCCCGAGGCATCGCGGATTATTGTTGTGCGCCAGTAGGCTTCCACAAAACTTCATTCTGAGCGCTTTTCTGGCCTAGGAGTTGCGAAGGTGGAAGGCGAAGACAGACGTTTTCGATGCGTTAGGCTTGAGGCGTCAGGTGCGTAGAATGTCAAAGGAGGATAAGAAAGCAGTGAGGGAATCGTACTCTTTTTTCATTGTATTTTTCGTCCTTGGTTCCTTCCTTCTTCTCTCTAACCGTAGGAAAGGGGATCATAAACAAATTTACAAACATTGACTATTTGCAAAGGAAACCAACGTACTTTGACAACATGCTCCCTTGACCCCTTTTCTGTTAAGTTTCGGAAATGAGTTTGAACATTCTATGTCTAGAATATTTTTGCCAAATTACCAAGGAAGAACAAACAGGCAAGAAATGGCTTCACCCAATCAGCACAACACATTGTCAGAAGGTTACGGCAACAGGACCATGCAACATTGATATGTTGGGCGGTCGTTGCAGTGTAACGAAACAACTTGGTTAGAATGAGACACTTCTCAGGGTTTTGGCTACGTTGCCTGATAAAATTTGCGGTAACGTTGATGAGTAACGTTGAATGGCTAAGACACGAAATGCTGTATAGAAGCTTTAAAAATGTTAACACGTAACACTTCTTAAGGCCTTTCCAGCATTAGTTGAACGTTATTTCACGACTTAACCAAATTGCTGTTTCACTCCCCCCCCCCACCCCCTCTCCCTAGGATCGTCATGCCACCAGCGAGTATTTTCCTTTCCTTGGAGAGAACTTGGAGGGAACTTTTGATCATCCTTCACAAGATCAAAAGTATTAGTTCACCCTTTGAGAGGCTGTCTCTGATAGAAAGTACCACTTTTGCAGTGTTGTGGCAAAGACTCCCTCAGAATTTCCTCTAAAAATTACATGTGGCACACTTAAAACGCTAACTCCAGTTTCACCCCTTTTTACTTTGATGAGAGTAAAAAGTGAGGAAAATTACTTTGATGTTTACTCCTTTTTGCTCTTCCGGATTAAAAAAAGAGGGAAAATGAGCAAAAAAAGAGTGAAACTGGAGTTAGCGCTCACTTTTTTTTCTAAGAGTGTAAGTCATAATAAACGTAGCACAAAACACCTTTTTTCCTGGTTTTTGCTTTTTGCTTTTGCTTTTCACCAGTGGCCCATTAAAAAGATGGTTTTCGGGTCAAAAAAGGACAATTCATCACGCAGTAGCCTGAATGCAAACTCTATTAGGAAAAATCTTACATCTTTATCATCAGAGGTTTTAGAAACCAACTCTAGGTGGTCATCTGCAGGTTTCTTTTCTCCTGAATGCTCTGGCTCAGATTTCCCCTGGCTAATAGTCCCGTTTTTGCAAAACGACTCTTCAGTAAAAACGCGATCTTTTAGGACACAAGAGAAGAAAAACGTTTCCTTTTTTCATAATTCCAAGAGTGGTGTTAAAATTATGAAAAAGAAACGAGAATGTCGTACGATTGAAAAGAATGCATTTACTCGTTTATCATTTCAAGTTAATTCTGAGAGGGATGCTCGCGTCCTACACGGCCTTTAATTCTGAGAGGGATGCTCGCGTCCTACACGGCCTAAGTACAAGGTGTCCATAATTTAAAAAAATCCTCAGGAGTTTCAAAGCGGACAGCACTGTTCCTCAATTTTCTACATCCTTTCCAAAATTAAGCAATTGCTCTGTCGTGATACTGGAAGTAATCCCTGTAATCAATCCTTGCTGTCAAGTCAGTCAGGTTTTGAAGTTTCCTATAGTGCATTTGAGTCTTCACGAATTCCCGTAGTAAAAAATCGAATGAAATGAAATGACTTAGCAAGGCGTCAGGGCATATTCTAAGAAAAAATCAGAACTGCACAAATGATTAAAGGAAGGAAGTGGTTGATATGGCAGAAAGCTCGCGGAGGGGGCATTTTTTATTTTCCAAATTTTTGTTTCAAAATGTAATTATTGCCTAGTTTAAACTGCACAAATTCCAATTCATAACCAGAACTGCACATATCTGTTACAACTGCACATTAGTTTTTATATGCATTAAAATATGCAACATTCACCTGCCATCCAGATGGATGAGCAGGCATGTGGCACTCAATTAGCCGTCTCACTTATGTCATCTCAAGCCACTCCATGTCTTGAAATGAGGACTTCAGTGCACAGGCTCATCACAAAAATTCACTGAATCGAGAGCAACCATTGCAGACGTTATTTTCTGTATCACAGCAGAGCACCTGTCGAGTGTTCTGAAGGGATGGAAAATCGACTTGAAGAGTGTTGGGCTTGTGACAGGGAGGTATGTTAAACAGTCTCATAAGCCATGAGAAAGTATTATCCATGTGCGTATTGCATGCAGATTAATTTACATAGAGCAAAACATTCCTGAGTAATGACGCTTTGAAACTCCCGAAGTTTTTGGCCACAAGATGCACTGGGAGATTCTAAAGAGAATTACACCTAGGTCAAATCACCCTAATTCCATGTTGTCTATTTTCCCAGAATACTGATCTTGCTTTCTTTTTGGATTCTTACTAGAAAACATTATGGGAATGACGGCAAAATAAAGGGAATAAGAGGGAGCGATTTGGAATTTCTAAGCCAAGGAGCTCTTGTGAAGAGGAATTGGCTCGGTATCTTAGAAATCATTATTTAACCCTTCAATACATAGCCTGACTCTAGAGGAAATTGTGATTTAAATGTTTAGAAAGCATATTTTTGCTTAAACGGCCATAACTTGTCATTTTTATTGGATTTGGATTTGGGATTTGAGTTTGTAGTTCCACCTTTCAAATGACACCGTCAGATTTCAAATCTAAAAAAAAAAATTCTCTACAGGGGAGGTTACCGCTGCATTGGTCGTACGTTGTAGGTCGGACGGCCGCATATGACGCGGCAGCCAGTCCTACAGTGTACGTCGCACGGATATGAAGGGTTAACGAAGGGGAAATGGTAGTGTTAAAAAATGGTAAAGAGTGACGCAAAAGCTACTTTCCATAACTTTCTCCCATTCTACTCTTCTTGTGACTCTTCCTCACTTGGAATTGGAGCCCCAATGTAATTGGTTGAAGCAGCCATCCACGGATTTAGGGATTTTCTTCCAGGCCGTCACGTGGTGGATGTCGTGGACGTCCCTAGAGTCTGGGTCGCATTTCCACGCCCGATTCCAGCCTACAATTGTGAATCCAAGGACATGCATAATCCATTTGGGGAGGCATCCATCGAGGACTTCCCAACATAGACCAACGCTGTTTTGCTTGTTTCGTTCGCTAAATGCAAGATGGACTGGGGAAAAGTCTAAACATAGGCTCTTCGAAGAGTCTTTCTTCTTCCCACTTCCCCATGGAATAGAAAAGCAACGAATAGATTTCTCGAGGGTCTATCGCTGACGTGGATCTAAACGTCGGCCAAGGAGCAGTTTTTGCTTCACGACGAAAGTTACTTCCTGCTCCAAAATAAAAAGAGGGAACCATCCATCTACAGTACTGACTGGTCATAGCTGGGTCATTCCATTGTCCTGGGTCATTCCAGTGTCCGACAGCCGTTCGTAACATCTTACGGATTTGCTTAAAAGTTCTCATGGAGTCCCATTGAATAAAACTGTCACGCCATACATTTTTGCATTCACACTCATAGTTTTCTGGGTGACCAAGTTTTTGCCCAAGCATGCTTCTGTGCAGATCCCTCAACACAAACATCTTTGAATCTCAGGAATTATCTAAGTTAGACGAATGCCTTGAACCTTATTAAACAATTGTCATCAAATGGGCACATCTTTCAAAAATGACGTTCTTTATCATTTTGACTATGCATAGCGTCAAAACACTATTTTTGATCTTAAGTAAGCATGTCCAAATGATGACTATTGGTATACGTGTATAAGGACCAATGTAAAAAAAAGTCCTGCAAAATAGTCCCCTTTGGCAGTCGCACACTTTTCCGTCAGCAAAGCAAATTAAACTTCCAGCACGGAAAGAGAATGTAGATGCACCAACTTTAAAAGGAAATTTTTTGTTCTTGATGACCTAATACAACATATCTCAACTGGGAGTCGGTAGCGAGGCTCCAGAGGGTTCGTGAAACCATGTCCAGGGCAAACAATAAGCAACGGGCAACGAAAAATTAAAATTAAAAAAAGGTGTATCTTACAGCTTTAATGTCTTCAAATTAGTGGTGCACTATTTTTAGAAGCTTAGAAATTTATGCGATAGTGAAGGGGCTCCGCGCAGTTCACTTCTATTCCGAAATGGGGACTGCAGGTTTAAAAAGACTGAGAACCACTAACCTGCACTCAAAGAAAAAATGAGCTAACTCCAGTTTCACTCTCATTCTTCTCTTCCCCCCCCCCTTTTTTTACTCTGAAAGAGCAAAAAGAAGTAAACGTTCGAGTAATTGTCCCATCAGAGTAAAAAGTGAGTGAAATTGGAGTTATCGTTCAAGAGTGTAGGATCGTGGCCATTATTAAGGCTCGCTCATTTCGTGGCAAAATGAATAAATTATGGAAGAAACTGACAGATCTTTTCAAGGTCTTTGGAGTGAGGCATGAAACCTCTCTTTAACTTGAATAGTCGCTGAGATATGGAGGAATTTGTGCTGAGGGAGCTGCATAGGAGTTTTTCAAGTCAAAATTTTGCAACGCTATATCATGAGAACCATGGGTGAGATAACAAAAATAGTTGGCATCAGTTTTTTTTTCTAAGACTACCTACTTCAATAGACGGATTAAACGATTAAATGTTATTGATTCAATAAATTAATCGGGTTTCAATCGAACCTGAAACCTCACCCTGAATGGCTGTCTTTCCCTTTCAGCTTCACTGCATAATGCACAGTTTCGCCAAAAAGCCAAAAATAAATGCGTTGGGATCGAAATCCATTGAAATGAAGGCTTGTAACAGTCGTTCTCGCGTGGTTCACTCTATAAAAAATGTTTTTCCAAAACAGGACGCACAAGAACAAAGGCGATGTCCCTTGAATAATGCAAAAGGAAGGGAGGACCTCGTGAGATGAAAAAGAATACCTTTATGTCCTTCCAGTTGATAGCGGGCGGTTGCTGCTGCCTAGCACAGTAACAATATGTGTGGGGAGTTGGGAAAATTTAAACGGGCATCGGGCATGATATAAAAGAGGGGAAAGTATTTGCTGTCTGCTGCTCTATGGCATACAGTGTGCTTTTACACGGCGTGTAAGAACACACTGAAATGCAGGAAGGAAGAACGGGACTCTTCCTTCCGGAATCGCACTTTTACTTTTCCGTCTGAGTCTGAGCATCTTTTTCTTCTGTCCCCCCCTCCGTCTCGTTTTCAGCTTTAAGCCAATGCGTCAATTGAAGACTTGAATCGGGTAATCTTGCAGCCATGACTCAACTCATGCGGGAATGAGATGTCAGTGTGCCCTCTCATCAATGTGGTTCGTCGAGGATCGCTTCAATTCGACTCAGATTTTACCCATTCACTGAAGCGGAGAGGGTCTCTATCAGTTGCATCCGGTGCCATATAGGCTCACCCTTTCCTAGATGGCGGCATTCACATCCATGTCCATGAGGAAATTCCCTCCGCGTGGAAGAAAAAAACACTGCAACCATCAGGTCTGTTTCAGTGTGCGCATTCCATTGAAGGCAGTGAGACAATATTCGGAAACAACACTTCGCTCAGATCCATATTTGCGACACAAATACAAAATGCAGACATTAAGCCTAGATCATCATTTTTAGAGTGTGGATATCCGTGGAAAGCAGACAACACGATCTTTCAGGAAAATTCAAAATGGTTCCCATTGCCTTTTTTTTTCATTCTGGACCTGAGATGGAATGACCCTGCTACACAATAGAAATTGGTTCCTAGGCTTTTATATCAAAGCTTGGTTGCATACGAGTTTGGAAATTCGATGTTTCAGCTACCCCACTGGGACCACATTGCCATGTATACATTCCTAGCCGACGATATACGTCTTCTAGCCATTAGCAGGACTAATCTATGGGGAAATGCGAAGAAATGACTTAGGAAATGGGATGGGTGTGAGATTACAGTTGACACAGGGGTAGGAAAATTATCCCAATGGAGGACATTAATGAGGCCATAGGTGGGAGAAATGGAACATAATAGGAGGAAGCCGGACCCATTGAGCACGACATAAAAACCTGATATGATATGGCTCACCAGTGGCGAGATGGAGTCGAATCCTTTGCAGAGGATACCGGAGATAGGCAAAAGAGGAGAGAGCTTCATATCGACGAAGGATGGTTCGAAGAAACGCCGTCCCTGTCTTCTTCTTCCTTCGTTCCAATGCAGTGTCCTCCCCTCCCCACAACACCAGCTCCCCTCCTTTCCCAACCTTGTGTATCATAAGAAATTATTTTCCATTCTAGGTGATTCTATACATTGGCAAATGTACGGAAGTCACAGTAATTTCGACTGTTACGACGATATTAGCACTGTAGATAAATAGAGAAACATTTTCTTATAATTCCATATCCAAAGATGTATTGCTGCAGCAAGGCAATCACACCCTCATGCTGTCCATTCTCCTCCGGGAAATCCTTGACCTAAGCTGGGAATTCTACTCCACCCACCTAATTGTTGAAATATTGCCTCATCTGACTATCACCTTTTCCCATAATTAAAAATATTTTGCACGGAAAGAGATGTGCTTCAATGATTGTTCTTGCATTATCCGTAGTATAAACGGTACTCCCGAAGAATGGCTTCCTGGTGGAAATAAGAAACGGGTGGAGCGATGGAAGAAATGTGTATTAGTTAGGGTGATTATGTTTAAAAGGTGGAAGAGGAGTAAAACTCTCGAGTCCACTTGAACGTGTGACATTTTTTAAAGTCCCCTTCCCTTCGTACAGTACCAAGTCCATTTATGGTAAGGAAAGGCAAGTTGCGATCGTCATATTCGATTATGGATGGAGGTTGATCCTGGAGACAGCTAACTTGAAAGTACCTACCGTAATTTGACATAAAAGCAATTACATGCTCTGAGCAAACTCATTTGACTGAGTAATCCTTTCGTGGACGCCCCTCCGATCGGAAGAGAGAAAGCTGAAAGTTCCGCATGGTTGAAGTATTTGCCAAGGGTCCTTGGAAAATGGGGGGGGGGATCAAATGGAAGGAAGACCTAGATCAGGAGGAGCAGGGAGGAGGATAAATGGAAGCATCTGATCTTGAGACGTCCAGATGGAGGAATTCTTCCAAGGCCCGCAACATTTACCTGAGTCTGTCTGGGTTCTACGTCAGAGTTTCTCTGTCTGGAATGGGTGAAGCGGAGTCACGCACGCCCGTCCTACATCCCCTTTTCTTTATGAGCAAGTAGCAAAGGTCATGAGGTCAGCTCAATCACAGGTATTTTTGAGAATCACCTCGAAAAGGGATATTTATTTTCGGCCTGCTTTGGATTTCCGGGTGGCCATAATTCGAATTTTCTTATAATCGTGAAAATAATAAAACTGCATCTCGCACGAAAGTCACAGTACTGCATTGAAATTGCTTGAAGATTGAAACACCTATACGCAGCCTTTAGAATGTTCACTACAGCAACAGTTTTGATAAGTGAGGCACCGACGGACTTGTCTCACCCTGACGATGCCTCTATTGGATGCTAAAAGGGCTCAGAACAAGAACCGATAGAATTCACGAGCATTTTCCTTCAACGCTGAGCTAGAGTTAGCAAACGATATATGAGTAAGTGTTGACTCGTCTCAGCACAAGGGTATACCTCTTGGAGAATCTTAACTGGGCAAGTACCGAAAGTACGCATGAGTATTTACGTAGGGAATTTCCCTATGTAAGTACTCATACGAACGTTACTGCGCGGAAATCGATCCTGCGGCTTAAAAAAAAAAAACTACCATAAGCTACGGAAAAGCCTTGAAAACGCTTTTTGCAACTGAAAAGCGATTCTTACTCGGACTTCACATTTTCTTCATGCACTTCTCATCAGACACATGAAATGAGGACGAGGAAACTTCCCATTCAAACCGACTTGAGGATATCATCATACTAAAGATGAAAACATATGAACTAATGTATCTGCTATGAAACGTTCCTAAACATTCATTCCTAAACATCCTAAATAAATTCCGGAATAAATTGGAAAGAACCATACTTTGACATGAATAAGTTGGCTTATGAACGTGAATACCAACATGAATATTGGTCCTAGAAGACTCACATTGTGCATCCCTGATACTCTCAACCATAACTACACCGATTACACCCAGATAAACCAATTTCTGAATTTCACGTTGCTCCTCATCCTTGTGCGTGAACAAGAAATTGGTTTAGGAAGTTAATACTCTTCCTGGAAGTTAATTTTAAGAGTTGTTATAATCATATGCTTTAGTACCCAGAAGTCATCTGCACGTGCGCCATTAATGATATTCTGCGGGCGTGGATGCTGAAAACGGGAGAAATGAGATAAGCACCTTGGTTTCCTTTCTAACCGGTCACGATATCCGCGTGCAAAATGAGATCATCACCGTTTTAAGAAGATGCAGTGAGGTCCGAGCAAGAAACGCCTCTCGGGGGCGATTCTATTCCTCGGTTTTGTGTCTTAAGAGGGCGTCATCCCACAATTCTAGCTCAATTTTGTATTCAATTAGGTTGGGGAACCTTTTCCTGAATTGCACCTGTAACAACTCCCCTTATTTTCGTCAGACTTCGATGATACTACCTTGCGGGATCGGAAGACTGTACATTTATTTCCCTATTTGTGAGACAATAAGGGTCCATTCTGTTTTTCTTCGGTTATATTACCACGTTTTCTGCAGTAGTAGACGTGCATGATGGGACCTAGGATTCTACGAGCTGGGCATTGATGTTTTATCCGCTCCACATCATGTCACGGAACTCTCGAAAATGATGCAGGTGAGAGAAAGGGAAAAACGGGAAAGAAAAAGAAAAAAAAAAACCCAGAAGCATGCATAAAGGAAAGGAAAAGACAGCGCAGTAGTGAGTGTTAGTCTAACAGACGAAAGTGTCGAGGTGAAGGCCGGACGACGTAACAAATGACACCCCTCTCTCCCCCTCCTCGAACACGCAAGTATATCATCGTAAAAAGCCACTTTTTGAACCAGGATCAATTTTATCGCTCGTTTCGCTCTCACGACGGCAATCTCACGCCATCGGCGATCAACGAAGTGAGAAAGATCAAGGAAAGGAACCATAAAGAATACAACTTGCAATCGTATGGCCGTTCCACTGATCTTGGGGGGATCCAAAAAAAAGGGTTGCTCCTTTTCTATAATTATGTTCCATAAGGGACGAGCGATTCTTTCAAACCTTTCGCACCGTAGTTGCACATGATATGTTGTGTCGAACAGGGATGCTGGCATTTGGCAACTCGGTCAAACGGTTTCATTGACACGGCCACTGAAAATTGTAATCTTCAGTATTTTGAAAATTGAATTCCGCTGCTGATCGTTACCTCGAAGCCATGCACGGATCTCACGATCCGGGCTGGGGAAGTGCTGGGACGGAACTGGTGCGAGGGCGTGGGGAAATGGAGAAGGAGTGGGGAGATGGAGGAGCGGGTGGAGAGATGTGAGAGTGGGTGGGGAGATGGGGGAATGGGTGGGGAGAGGAGTGGGCGCGGAGGGAGCACTTTAAGTCGGGGCCATAGTTACACAACGGCAGGATGAATGTCCCAGAGAGTAGGATTATCATCCGTAGGTTATGCAGAGGAATCTTACGTTGCAATTTCTGGGGACTGGCAGCATTAGGGAAGAAATGGGAACCGACTATCATGATGCCATTATGAGTGAATGGACTCTTGAGGGGAGAACAGGAGATGAGGCGAGCATGGTCAGGAGGGGCCTCGTCATACTTGACCCCTTCCACACACAGGTGTTGTCTCCCCGGGTGCATTCCGCTATCTCCTTTCTGGTTTCTCTCCCGGGTATATACGCGCACAGGGCTTAGAATTCCGATACTCATTGAGAGGGGACAAGGCATGCAGGAAATTCGTTCATAATGGCAGCATTCCCAAATCCTTATCCCCACGTCAGCAAATTGTATTATAAAGAAACATCTCATGATCGCACTGTCGCTGTATAGAAGAGCGTGGCTTTTAATGAACGAAGGACCTCATATACTGCGGGCTCTCTTGCGTATAATCATGATAGCATAATGGTTTAAATAGTGATCTGAATTACAACCTTATTGACAAAATAATATGTAAAATTATCGACACGTGCCTTGTTCCCAAAATGCAGGCGCAAATACTTTGCTCTCTGAGTTTTTGGTTTTTATGAGAAGCAGAAACGATTTTATTAAGCAGGGATATCGTTGACATTGACTGACAAGAACCTCCATCGAGGGTAAACGTCCCTGATCTTGACATCCCCGATGGCAATATGGGAGGGAATAACTCATGAATTGTGATAATGAGTCCTCGCAATAAAATGTTAGGGTTTCCCTTTTGGTCGTATTTCATCTCTCATTAGAAAATAGCTCATTTTTATTGCTCCTAGATTGCAGCATGGGCTTATCCAGAACTTTTGGTTCACTGGAATGGCCAGTCCTCTCTCTAAAAATCCGTATAATATCGCAGGAACAAGAATTGAAGGTAGAGGCTCCATTTGCTTTCGGCGAAATATATTATATCTAGTTCCTCTCTTGTATATACCATACCACCCATGCTACACCATGCTACGCATTGCTACCATCTTCTGTACTTTCGTCTACCATGTCTACACCATGCTACCCCATGCTACCCATTGCTACCATCTTCTGTAGTTTCTTCTACCGTGTCTGCACGATGCTACCACATGCTACCCATTGCTACCATCCTCTGTACCTTCTTCTACCGTGTCTACACGATGCTACTCCATGCTATACTCTGCTACTTTCCTCTGAACCCTCTCTTCGAGGGTTTGCACCATGCTACTCCATGCTATCCGCTGGTATTCTTGTCTTGAGTCTTTCTCACACGTGTACATCATGCATCTCTATGCAACCCACTGCTATCTACCTTTTAACTCTTACATCTCTTGACTTTGTCATACCCTTCCATGCAAACACTTGGTACACTCCTCTGGATCCTATTTCCTCGTGTCTGCTCCATGTCTGCCACAATGATGCGGTGAGCACTCGTCTCTCCCTGTGTGCGCCACTGTATTTTCTCTCGTCTTCAGAAATAATTTTTAAAATTTATTTTCCGAAGTTGTCTTGCACATTGGGTGTTCTTGACCCTTCCATGCAAACACTTGGTACACTCCTCTGGATCCTATTTCCTCGTGTCTGCTCCATGCTGCTCTATGATATCCGGTGCTACTAAATAAGTCACGCCCTGGGGGCATGTCATGCCCCCTATATCTACCCGGTGATGATAAGAAAGCTAAAAATACCTCTTGAAACAGAGACGAACTACTGAGTATTCGTCTGATGGACTTGGTGCGCTGACCATGTCGAACCTTTGCCTTCTACTCGCGTTTCTTTCTGGTTTACACATTTTTAGAGCTTGCGTCGACAACGGTTTGGGGACGCTTACGCCATTAGCAATGCCAACAAAGAATCGCTCCCGGACCTGGCCAAAGGACAACATCCTGGCTTGCACGGTCTGGTACCACGGTAAAAGAAATAAATCGAGCTCATTGGTGGCTGTGTTGAGTAGGTATCATTCTTTAAAATAATTCCTGAAATGTTCATGAGATTATGCTGAGAAATAAATTACCAATGAAGCAATACTTAAGACTTTTCAGATAACCAACGTAAACGTAATTAGGATCATGTCCGGGAAGAACAGAGCTTCCGATAGACGTAAACCCGGAAAGAGATTCACAGAAGCATCAAAGAGGAAAGGATAGTCCTCGCTGAAAAAGTACCACCTCCTCGCCCACATGAGGGTGGGGTAAGGTAAGGGAGGTAAGGGAAGCAAGGGAAGGAAGACAAGGGAGGAATTAATTGAAACACTACTGGAGATGTATTGATAGTAGGTTTCTCCTAAAGGTGGAGCTATGCCAAACGATGGATCATTTTTATCCAGTGAAGTAAATAGGGAAAAAAAATACACATATAGGCTGGGTTACGAGACATCACATACTTCCAACCTTGATCACAATCATAAATCCAGGTCTTTTTCCACGTTATCAAGTTTAACCATCCTCCAGGAGATTCGCGCCTCCCAGTGCTCTGCAACGCCATCAACATCATCCACTCCTATCCAACACGTTCCTGATGAACCAAGAACACCCAATGTGCAAGACAACTTCGGAAAATAAATTTTAAAAATTATTTCTGAAGACGAGAGAAAATACAGTGGCGCACACAGGGAGAGACGAGTGCTCACCGCATCATTGTGGCAGACATGCACAGAAAAAAAAAAAAGGTCCCAGTTTCTACCTCTATTAGTAGTGCCTCTATTAGTAGCCCCAAGCATTTTTATATGATATCCCAGAAGAATAAAGAAGATTCCTGCCAAGTTAAAAAAAAAAACTTGGCGGGAACTTTGGTCAACACATTGGGATGTTCCAACTTTGCTAAGCAGATGGCAGACAGCCTCAAAGATGAAACTGATCTTTAACTTATCTCTCTAATGTACAGTACATGAATAGTTACAATTGCTTAGCATTTTTTAGCTATAAAGTGGGCGGTTTATTTGCATTTAAAAAATCTCTCGGTTAACATCGTGCGAACTTAATTTTTTTACCACATATCTCAGATGCAAGAAGAGTAATTTAGGCCAACAGAAAATAATAAAAATCCATTAATGCAAGATGATGCATTAATAATGCAAGATAAGATAAAACAAATATTTTCAGAGACTACCTGCCGCCGGTGTACAGCCATGCTGCCAATGTGGAAAACCAGGTAAGGCGCAGAGCGCTCATTGCGTCTTCACGGCGATTTTCGGCGCATCAACTTTAACACTTGAAGCGCCGTACAGTTTTCCTGCTTGATAGTACCCTTTGGACCAAAAGGGTTCTGGCAAAAGCATTCAACATATTTACTCCATAAATGCTGTATTGCAATATGTTGAAGGGTTTTTAATCAGTATCAAAAGCACGTGACAGTATTCGCAGGACAGTCTTGTCACTATTATAAAACTGGTGTGGTCCCAATGGAAAAATAAATGCCAGTATTATACTACTGATTGGGCGCTTAGGAAGGAAGGCCCAAAGGAGGTGTGGAAAAAATATACTATATTATATTGAAGTACTGTGCGAAATTTTTCTTTAAACCTGACAGAAATCTTTCATGTTTATCTGAGATGTCATATGCGGAAAAACATGAGGCTCGCAGGATACTGGATGGAGCTCTGTAATTATAAATATCCCTCGTACGAAAAAATTACAATGTCATCCTGTGATTTTTAAATACTGATTCTACATGCATGCAAAAAAGTACGCATTGTTCCCCGCACTAGAGGACCTCTTAGTTCACACTCGTAGCGCATTTTCACTTCGATCTCTTGGCGATCACCCCTCTCTGACTCACAGTCTCTAGGTACAGTCTCCCAATCACGTGCAATGCTACTCATAGCCGAAAGCGTTGCAATCCTGCATTTCATAGCAGCTCCTGGAGTCAGGAAGATATGGCGACTTCTCAGTGTCTGTTTGTTCTCAGTGCAGTTAATGTTTTTTTGGATTGAGTATTGATTGAATATTGAGACTGAAGGATTGAGTAAAGAATATATCAATCTATATTTCCCAAATATTGATGAAGTCAAATTCGACATTGATGGGCCGTTCAGACCAGGTTAAAATTTTTAGTGCCATATTCCCCCATATAACCCTTATAAAATGTTCAGTGGGTATAAAATTTTCAGGGTCTCGATAATTCTGGATGCCTCCGTTACCACACCCGAGCCAAGTTCTTCCATTTTCCCCAAACGAAATGTGTTTTGACCACTGTAATTCTGTGCATTTTCTCATCGCCTCCTGGGAAGGACGTTGAGATTGCCCAAGGCTCTAACTGATCCAGGAACGACCCTGACTCTCTCTGTACGACAGTCATTGCTTATCACAGAGCTTAAAAGTAGCCTGCAGGAGGAAGAAGCGAGATGACAGACTATGATGGTGGATTTCTTGGTGGGCGGTCGCATCGACGGTGGAACGATGACCCATTTCACGGGGAAATCCGAATCCAAGCCAATCACCACTTTCCCCATCTCCCATTCTTCTTCTCCACCCACCAACTCTAATTCCACTTCCGGCTGAAATTTCACCAAGGATATGAGAAAGGGAAGAGAATCTCTCCATTATACACGAAGGTGGAGCAGGAGAGTAATGCGTAATGTTCGGATGCCGTGTAGGCCCCTTCCCTCATGCTTCGTACCTTGGACTTGGAGTCGCGATGAAGAAGAGGATCCAGGTCGAGATGGAGGAAATGGATCTCTTCCTTTTTCGCTGGGGAAACTTGACGAGAATGGCAACCCCGCTCCATCGGAACTTGTTCCATTCCCAACGCCTCCACCCATTCACTCTCCAATGGGCTTCGCAAAACACACAATTCTGGATTCGGTTCTCCCTCTAGAATGGCAGGAAATGTGTTTTTATTTATTTATTGTTCCTGGATTTGTCGACGAATGCACGAGAAAGAAACGAGAAGCTAGATCGACCAAACGTGGTCAGGAGCCCAGGATGAAAATGAAAAGGAGACCAAGAACTCCCTCTCGCTCTAGAACCACCCACGGTCTTTGTCCTAGTCGTTAACCCCTGCACACGTCCTTACCGTAGATTATGGCTTTTTCCAGTAATGCTAACCTGAATGAACCATGCATCATCTTCCCTTCATCTCCGTTCCTACATGACAGAATCACTCAAAAACTCGAAGGGTCATCCACACGGTGATGGGTGTTTTTCATTCAGTCATTTATGCGTTAATTCCTATTAAAGTCAACATCAATTCTGGGACCGAGTTCCTTCAAACCCCAGCTGGAATTACTCGAACAAGGGATCATTTTTACGACATGAACCTCTTGACGCGATAATTAAAAAAGAGACAAGACCTCGATGACAAGAGACGAAGAATGACATTTTTATGTGAGTGAAAATATGCATAGAATCCGAGAATGAGAGCGAGGAATGTCACTCAGTCGGGGGACGGGAAAGAAAGGCCAATGTCACCTGTGGGAACGAATCTCCCTCTGGGGATAAATAATGGTTTTATGTACTGGAACCCCCGGAGGCTTCGGAACCCTGTCCCTGTCGTATTTCCAATTTTATTCATTACGAACTCGATCCTTATCGGGCGGAATGGAACAAACGACTCCGGTCAACAACTCCTGTCATGTCGAGTCGGGCATGAACAAAGACTCTGGACCAAGGCTTGACCGCATGAACCTTTATGCAGAGACAGAAAAATAAAAGGCCTGGAAAGCGGCCTTCCTGCACCATCGTATCTTCATGCAATTAGGCAATTAGGCCTATTGTATTCCTTTCAGCTTTCCTCTTCACAAGCGGAAAATTTATACAGTCCACAGCGATCCCACGCTTCTTCCTATCGTAATGGGATACGAATTGTCTGGGAATGCGTGTTCTGGCATCTGACAGGCAATGCAATTCCTGAGATTTGTCATCGCTCCACCTTGGACCACTGCAATGTAATTAATTAATTGACGATTGGAAGAGCGTAAAACTTCAAACAACGCCTACATTTTTGTCTCAAATTCTGCACAACACTAAGTTGAACTCTCTATTAACGGTCAAGTCTAAAAATTCAAAGAATAGCTCCAATTTCATAACAGATCCTCTTGGCTAAAACTCAAAAAAGTGAAGGGGGGTAACAATCGACTATCAGAAGCGGTATAGAGAATAATTATCGAATCGATCACAATTCCAATTGGCCAAGCAAGTAAACTACATGCAAGTTCTTGCATAAAGGAAGGACAAGTGCTGACTTGAAAGAACGACGGGCTGGAAGGTGAGTAGGCATTCCATGAAGAGAATTCCCTTAATGACGTCCATCAGCATTTTCCAGCGTGAATTCTCACTCTCGTGCCCATGGAGGGAAGAAGAAGAGAAAGTTCATTGTGGTGAACACGGGGTGGCAGAGGAGGCATGATTTACGCAGGCCTGAGGTCGGAAGCGTAAGCGCCACTGAACGTGACTGCGGAACCGAGGTCTAAGGATGCTGGACGGTGTGGGGAAACGGAAAGACCGGGGCAGAAATCCCTCTCGTACCACGCGGAATCTCCCTCCCCCTCGCCGCCTTCCAAGGCGCGCATGAGCAGCTCCAAGCTCGCTCCGTTGCGCCATCTGTCCAAAGAGTAAGGCATTCTTATTTCATATGTCAAATGGTAGAGTGCATAAATGCACAGCTTTGGAAATAAGGTTAAAGAACAAATAAATGTGCGTTAAGGAATTGAGATATAATAGGGAAATTCCGGCATAGGTACTTGCAATGGTGTGTACTAAAATCGAAGAAAGTTTCAAGGTCATGGTGACGCGAAACGGAAACGAGAACCCGTGCCAATTCTACTGTCGCTCCAAACCATAAAGCCGATACGCCTCACTCATCACACACAGAAGGGCGTATGCCCTCCACGCGCAGCAGTCAGTTGTGGGCGCTCACAATTCCACAAGTGCAGGGGTTGCTAAATTAATAGACGCAATCTGTTATTGAGCTTGATCTCTATCAGTTCAAAGCAAAAGGGCGTATTACGGAGTACTAATGCAAGCCACCGGATGAAAGTGCTGCCCTTGAGCTCTCACCCATTTGTATCCTCGTGTGAAAACATGTTCAGAGAATATCAAACAAAGGCGTAAATAAGAGGAGTGGTTTAAAACTGAAATTTGTACGAGGAACGGGCAGTGAGTCTATTGATTTGGAAACCCTCAGTTGTTGCCTATTAATTACGGTGCTTTTGTCTCAAGAATTCGACCTGCGATTGAAGCTGGATGTATTACTGTCCTTGAGTGGCAAGCCGACCCATACCGGTGTGTTGTAACAGAGTTGCATTAATCAAAGGGTGGTGGGTGTTCGAGGCAGTGGCGGTTGTGGATGAAAAATCTGGGGAGGCCAGCACATGATCTTCATAATGAATAATAGCTCTTTGTAATATTAATGGATGCACGAAGCACAAAAGGTGTGTTTATGCCAGTCTAGCCGCTGATGAGTCGCACTTCCTTAGTGGCATGTAACAAATAAAGGGCTAAAAGAGAACTCGTTCCAAGTTGGCGCTGCAGATCGAACGGAATCACGTGAAAGCAAAGCAGAAATTGGTGCTTCATCGAATACTTGAGGGAGAATAGAGGCCCACGTGGGCCGAGGAGAAAAGTAACAGTCTGACGACATCCACCTGTTGCGAGGTTCAGAACTTCTCCAAGACAAAATCGCATCCAGCTCACATAGTGAATATCATGATTATGTATAATATATCTTATGAATTTTCCATCCTTGGCTACTGCGTAGATATAAATTTGCATATCGAGTTCAGATCTCCGACCAGCTCTCTACACGTGGCCAAAGGTCTGAAAGACGTGCTAGCACTTGCTAGCAGGCACCAGCTCATGCGCAATACAAAGGGTGAGGCCGGCCTCCCGGTTCACGTATAAGCCTACTACTGTAGTGCATGTGCTACGTGATACTCCCAATGCATTGTCAATGGGACAGGTGAGGCGTGGAGGCTCCGGCCTCCCATCCGCGATTCTGGGCAGTAATCAGCTTTTTGAACTTCTCGATTTTTGCGTCAATTGAAAATGAATCAAATGGTACTGAGTGATATTAATTGATATTTCGAAGTCGATGGGAAAGCGTTACATAAGGAATCCTTGTATAGGCCGGACCTCCCCTTGCCTGTCCTGACGAGCCGCCACTGGTCTGAGGAGCTCTAAAATGTCCGCATGATGGACATTTAATGTAGCGCTTAACAGGAAGCTGCATCGGCATGAATAATAAGGAAGAGCGATGTATTCCTTTAAAGGTGGAGGCTGGAGTCACAAAAGCTACTGGTGCAGTTGTGAGCTGTTACTCTCCATACGAAAACCAGATAAGTGCTCCCGTCGCGACGACCGATGGGACATATGACTTACACGATGGACGTGCGCATTTTTTTTTACCGGCAATACCGGAACACCGGATCGGCTCTTATGCAACGATAGCTCCAGGCAGGTCTGCTGCGCCCACGGCATAGGTGGCCCACAAAAGGAGTACGGGCTGTGGGAGATGGCATAAGTGGTAGCGTCTTTTTTTCCTGTTGGACGGTGCTTAGCACTCTCACTTTTTCTTTTATTCCTCTGAAATCCTGTTGGAGTTTGGCGCTTCTGGGAGGTTTTTTTTTTTCAAGCAAACAAGATGGAGATCCGATTGAAACAATGCCGATGATCCGGTGGAAAAATATACAGAGCTTGATAGCGGTATCGTTGCATGTTTTGTTTTTGGTCCACCCTTTCCGCTTGATCTCCTCTTTCTGGCACACTTTGAAGGGAAGTTTCCTGTTGCCACTGTCACTCACACGTCTTGGCTTCTCAATCCGAAGGTGCAGAGGCGCATTCTCTTCAATCGACGCTGGATGTCTTCATGTTCCTTCTGATAATCTCATTCCACTCCATCCAGCCTTCACGTTTACCGTCGTCGGAGACCTTGAAGGCCACGTCTTTTCTTATCATGGGCTTTGCCCATCACGTGTGCGATTAACATGGAAGTGTGAGTTGAGTTATATCATGATCAGTGGCGTAGCCAGGATTTCGCCAATGGGGGGACTAAGCAGAACGGTGGGGGGCTTACTTTTCCTCGCCCGGGGGAGGGGAGGGGGTGGGGGCGGATGCATTTAGACCGGAGTTGGGGGGGGCATGGACCAAACTTGGGGGGGCTGAAGCTTCCCCCCTTCCCCAGTCCCCCAACTCGCTACGCCACTGATTATGAGTGTGTGAATTCAACTTTGAACTTGACGTGGTAATAAACTAGGCATTAAAAAATCGAGATAGTCTACGACGTCGGTACTGGTACTCTGGGTACGACTGTATCGTTCATCTCGCTTCCCTGCGTTCAGATTTTCAACGAAAAAATCATGAAATAAACAATAATGTCCTCCTGGAAAGCGGGAAAGCGTTCAGGCGCTCAACGATGTAAAGATAAGCAGTTTCTGGAGAAAGCTGAGGTGGTTGGACAAAAAAAAAAGTCCTCCAGGAATTCATCTATTACAATAACTTGAAGGAACTGATTCATTCTTCTGCTCAGAAGACAGTCTAGTTCAATGCTTGCGAGCAAGCTCCCTACTTCTGCATGAAAACCTACAGTAGAATGCGATATCGCTGAGCAGGACTAGGGTGTGGGAAGCAGTTGGGCCTGTAGGTGCCCGAAGTGTCTTGAAGCTGTGAAGATAAAAAACGAAAGGTTGTCACCATTCCCCACCCACCCGCCCCAAGATTAGCAAGGATTAGCGTAGGTCTCCTTTCCCTCGGGTCGCCTAGCATCCCTCTCCCCCGCTCGTCAATCTCAGTTGGAGCCGTGGGAAGGGGAGGAGGGGCGATAAGCTGAGCGAGCGGAGAAACGTTTGTATGATCTGCGCAGTTCTCCATGGGGGAGGCGAAACCTAAAGCTTTGATGGATGCTGGGGGGCAAGACATATTGGAATGGAATCTGCGTCTCTCGACCGATATTCTAATTTGGTACCAGATGCAGATTGATGAAGGGGACTATTTTTACAATTACTACAAAACCAAGTATATTGCTGAAAAATGGGTCAATGACACACAATTGGGAAATATTTACCGTCTGGATCGCGTGTTCGGCGAGTGCACCATTGACTTAAACTCCTTTACGTAATCTGAGGGTATAATTATCCAAGATAGCGTGGAAAGTGCTCTCTGAGAGGAAGATTTTGATCTTCGATGGCTTTCTGAAGTTCGTCTAATGTTTGTGGGCAGGTGCGGTAGTTTTTTGACTTGGAGAAAGAGGTATGGGATGGAATAAGAAATAAATGAGGATTCAAATCGAGAGAATATGGGAGCCTCCGTTTCAGAGAACACTTTCCTTGTTGTCTTGCTTAATTACGCTCCCGTTGTTCAAGTCAACGGACCACACACTGAACATGTGTTTTAGGCGATGAATATTTGATGTAGTTTAAATATCCAGACCCGCTTTTTTTATTATTAACGTACGGTACTTGGCTTTCTCTAGCGTTAAAAAATGAATATGTCGGATGTTTTAAAAGTTACATTATCCAAGGAGCCACTGAAGAAGTCACCATGGGAGATACTCTGGGTTTTACCTCGGATTTCATACAAATGATTCTCGGGATTATTTTTAAAATAACGCAATATTAGCCATAAATTACGACGAAATCCTACAACAAGGCCTGTGCCACCCTGGCCTCAATCATGATAATGGAGATTTTTGGATCGATGATAACGAATGACAGTTCCGGCCCAGCTGGCATGACCAACACGACCAACTTCACATGGCGCAAGGGGAGAAAGAAATTGGCTTGTGTGTTCACCCTTTAAACAAAACATGTCCTGTCATGGATGTTGGTTAGTTGCAAATAGAAGCGAGCAATCGCAGTATCGTGAATGAAGCGAGCCTGGCTTAGACGGTTCTGGCATCAAAGGGGAGACTAAAGAAACATTGGAAAGACTTGAAACGACGACCCAGCTCTTAAAGCAGGCGCCATTCTCATCGTGAAATACGGTGTCTCCAGTGATCGGACCGTTGCAGCAGGACTGCTATAAACAACGAGGAGAAGCGAGTTTCTGAAGCTTCTCGTGAAGCATGATTCAGCTTTTGAGAGCCACTTTGAGGTCGTGTTTCGGAATCCTTCGAATCTATTAATATTTACCTAAGTCAGAAGATTCAAGATTTCATTTATCTCTAGTGAAATCAAGAAGAGGATTTATGACGTAGTGGAAGAAACGATGCTAAATTTTGCGGATCTTCACCGACTCTACAATCGATATTTCGCGCTACGATAAGCTTTCTATTCCTCTTCGACATGAGTCGAATCCCAATGACGTCGCCCAAAGGTTCACGACCTTGCAATCCCAGCCAGGGATCAAGACGGAATCCATCAGAAAACGATACCAATGAGATTCTTCAAAACATCCGCGTAGCATTTTCTCAACGTATTTTCTTCCTGTCGCGGACAGGTTTACGACTGCGCCAGCGACATGGCTGGACAAACACCACTCAACATTTAAAGTGGTTCGCTGTAATAAATGACTGTAAAGGTCACATCGGCCCAGTATAATGATTAATTTCACGCAGCACGAATCATTTGTTTACTGTCAGATTGGTCTCCCAAACGATCAGGTACTAAGTGGCTCGAGAGCACATCCACCCAATATGCATCATACTTTATCGCCTCCATCTCCATCCACGAAATTGATAGGGATCCACACGAAGTGTTGAATGGAGCATATCTAGTTTCCTCCAGGCACGAATGATGAAGGACTCTCACCGTCGGTTATCCAGCGAGTTAGCGTTCGTCTTCTCTCATCTTGGTTCATATATCTTCTGATTCATCCGGCTCAATGTCTGCCTTTTAGGGTCGATTCTAACTCTGTTCTCTACGCAAGGGTCATGACTTTCTGGTCTAATATGGTTTCCGATCGAGTGGGTGCGTGATGAACGCGTACGGCATTTAGTCCATCTCAAAGACGAGCTCTTCCACTTCAACTACGATAGAAATCGTGTCTGCTGCAATGCGACAGACACGATCTCAGCAGAGATCACGTCTGCAATTCCTTTCTTGTCTAAATTCGTTCCAGAGATTTATCATCATATTGAATTTTAAAGTGAACGAAAATTTTTCTCTCCAAGAAAGACACCCACAGTCTCGACAGAATGAAAATTGTGCAGCCCACCTCAAGAGCGCGTGGATTTGGGTCAGCGTCTGGATGCTCCTTCAGACAGTTCCCTTTCGAGCCTTCCTAACTTTCACGGATCTATTTTTAACAAACGGAGAATGAGGCTATAAACCGCAGCCGGAAGAGGTTTCATAGCCGAATCCATTAAATACCGCATCTGGTAACCATAGACATGGTCCCCTCTTCCCCTGTGCTCCCGAGTTTTACTGCTCAGGATGCATTTCGAATCGGAACCGAGTTCCATCTGGTTCCGGAAATCCATCTGTTTACAGGAAAAGCCGACTCGAATTGAATTGAATTTATATTTATTGGTGTTATGTTATAGAAGCATAAATTGTCACTCTTCCTGTTGAATCATCCCAGCAAACAATTTGAAGCACATAATGTTGAATCAGCGTTGAATCAACATTGAATGAACGTTCGGAACGTTGATATAACGTTGATCCAACGTTACCTTGTTTGCTGGGATATTTGTTACACTGCCATGTTAGTTGGACATTTGACAGTGATTGTCACCTGGCATCAATATTTAATCGGAACAGAAAATATTCTTCGAATCCGGAGTCATAGCTACGAAACAATACTTCGATATGACTCGGAGTACAGGAGGGTGAGTCAAAAACCCTTTTTTGACCCTTTTACGTTTGAATACTCCACCCCTACTAATAAACACAATCGCGCAATTTGGAGAGTACGTAATTAGTACCACTTTTTCATGATCGAGTGAATTTTTCTCAAGGAAACGTGACCAGTAGTTCTTCCACAATAGTTTTTGTCCCGGGAAGCAAAAAAATCACCATTGTTCCCGCACTATTTTCTCTGACATGCTAGAATGAACATTGTTCGAGCAGTGACCCAGGAAAATGGAACTGCGACTGGCCGAGCTGGCAGCACTTCAGCCGGTAGAAGAGGGCCTATTCCGCTTCGCTTTCTTTCGTTGTGGGGCATTTCAATCCTAAAGTGCAAATGCATCCTATATAATGGGTTCTTGTTGGAGTTATCCTGATGCATCATGCTGATATTGTGGCCGACGTTGGCAGTTCACGACGAGTCGGTGTCACAACATCGGACGAAATTGACATCTCTCTTTCTCTCTCTTGCCAGAAGTAAGTGGTTCGGGTCAAGGTTCTTTCATACGGAACAAGGAAACCTCTCTCCACGTCTTTTTCACGTGGGACTTCTCTGCGACTACGAACTTACACTTTTCGTCCTGAACACATGCTAGTACCGACTGACAGTGAAGTTTACTTGCTACGTTCTTAAGTTCCTCTTTCTCCTTAGCCCTTTCACTGCTACTGACACGTCAACGCGTCAGCGAAAGAAATACTTCCAATGATGTGACGCGTTTAGCATTTGCATAACGCTAACGTGCATAACGCTTTATGGATCTCCCGCTCGTTACCGTTACCGTCGTATATACGCGGTCGATGAGGTGAGACTTGAAATGAATTCTTCTGCCATCTGTTGAGAGTTGCGGTGTACTTCGTACTGCCTGCAGAAAATGTCGCGCAATGGTTAAAACCGCTAGTATGAACTCACTTATGGTGCAGCAGAACAAAAAATTTGTCAAATCTTGCGAGAGCTTATATCTCTGTTCATCGCGGTACCAGTTTAATAAAACTTGGCATCCATGATTTGCAGCTATCACGTCTCAAGTCTCGAGAAAGAGTGCGAGGACGTTGACCT